CTCAAGTGTGAAAATGTTATAGAAAGCAGTTGAAGTATTACATATTTTTTTTTTTAGTCCAAGCAATGTGAGAGTGATTTTTCTTTATATTTTCCAATGATGTATTTTGTATGTGATTTTTCTTTAAATTTTCCAATTAATGTATTATGTATGTTATTTTTCTTTATATTTTCCAATGGATGTATTAAGTATGACTGTACATCTTACACAAGATGGGATGCACTAGCAAAATCTGCAAACAGTGTGTTTTTTTTAATCGTTTTATAGAAATGTAAATCTGGCCCTTTTAAAAATAATATATTTGTGGTTGTGCTGTATCTGCATTTTCCTGATTGAGTAAATGTGATGTTCTAAAACTGACTTGGTTACAACTTTGCCAGACATAGTAAAACAGTTTACGCAGTAAAATAATTATTTTTTTTTTTCTCTTTATTCTAAATTTGACAGTCTCAAGACCTGCACGATCCCAGCTACCTTGATGCCATCAACAGTCTGCTCATCTGTGGAGAGTATTCACATTTGTTCTCTAATGATGAGATTGATGGTCTTCTCCAGGCCATACTTCCAACAATGAAGAGAGAGCTGCTCTGGGTTTCTGTAGATCCCATGAAATATTTTATTTCAAGGGTGAAATGTAATCTTCATTTTGTGATCTGCTTACAGTCAAGTCATGATCTACTTAAAACAGCAAAAGAGTGAGTGCACATTTTGTTTTCAAGTTTTTCCACGGCGTTACAAAGAGCATTTGCTCCGCTGAAGCCAATTTTAACATCTTCTTTTTCTTTTTCTTCAGTATTCGAGCCCTTGAAATTAACTTCTGCAGATATCACCCGCATCTCCCTGGTCGGCCTTCTCCCTCCAGTTGGTAACACCATGTGGTTGCAGGTCTGTCTGGACATTATCTCTCCATCATCTTCTTGGTCGGCCTCATAGTCTGTGACCATTCAGCTATCTTTATACAGTTTTTACCTCTCTGTCATCTGATATTCTTTTAATATGCCCCAACCATTTCAGTCTAATAGCTCTCAAGATGCCAGTGATCAATGGTGATTTAATTAGATTATCAATTTCATTGTTGCTTATCACTCTCAACTTTAACATATGGCAGTTAATCCAGGACAAATGGTAAGTAAGTTTCATATGTTTTAAGGATGCTGAAGAACCAGTCACAGCATTTGTTGGCTGTTTATGGTTTTGCTAAGCAGTTTTACATTCAATAGTTTGCCATTGCATTCTCGATAGTCAACTCTTGATACCATTGTTGAAATAAACACGAAACGTTCTGCTGCTAAATTGTCTGCGGTTGGAATCGAACCCGGCATCTCGGAATTGCGAAGGCAAATGGAACATAAACAAGAAAATCCATTGAAGTCTTTAAGCACATCACCCGTCAAGTGCTGATAGATCTAAAACTATGTGGGACTAGCACAGTATGTCCAAGAAGGCTTAGAGTATGGCAAAGTAAAGTAAACGTAAAGGACCCTTTTTCCACGCCTTGAGATGTATTGGTCATATAGAGCTAGGCTTATATTTTATAGCCCAGTCAGTAATTGTTGGGCAGTGTTGTCAGCATCATGCTGGCCTTTTCCCATGACTCAATCTGGTACCCATTTAGGGCTTGGTCGACCTGGGAGCAAAGGTCATTTTTTAAGAAATGCCAGCTCTTTGGATTTAAAATCTGACTTTTGGATTCGCAGGCGGGTGTCCACTACACCCGGGGGAGGGTGGGGTCTCCCCTCAGGGTATGGTGATAGGTCATTTATCTAGAAATTATGTGTATTCAGTGTCTATATAACATTAGTATTTGCTGTCTATATATAGATATATATATAGGGCTTTTTCTAGATAAAAGGTGTGCTACTCACCACAAAGCATCTATTCAAGTAGATCTGAAAAATTGATGCCTTAAAAAGGATACAATTGAGTACCACCATAAAAAAAAACCAGATCTAATTAAATTAGATATATGTATTATCTTTTCAGTAAGTTATTATCTGTCCAAATGCCCTATATATTTTTGTTTCTTTCTCTTCTGCATGTCCTTAAAAGGACAGTTGGCACGTTGTATTGTGTTTTACAGCTTGCATGTAAAATCTAACCCCCCACCCCAGGGTCTTCCTGTCTCTTTCAATCTTCCCTTTCTCTCTTATAAGCACATAATACATACACACACTAGCCTAAATATATATATATATATACATGCTGCCATATATTTTATAAATAATCTACTTCTCAGTTTGTGAGGATGATGAATATTGATGAACATAACATATAACCGCTGATCAGTGCAATACCATAAATTATAACAAGAATGGTTTCTTATCTCTTGCAGCAACTTCCCTGGCCTTTTGACTGGTTGCCAGATTAACTGGATGTGTGACTGGCCACAGGAAGCTTTGCTGAGTGAGGCATCCTATTTTGTAGCCACACTCCAACTGTCTGAGGAATTTGAGAACTTAAGGTGAGGTGTCATGCCACTTTTCTAGATGAACTCTTTCAATCGCATGTAACTTGTAATGTGTTTGTTTATTAGTCTAAAGAAAGTGGGCATTTCCTACTCCTCTTTTATTGCATGTAGTATTTGTATCTTTAGAGTAGGTTATGTTTAACCCTACCAGGACTGCACATCAAGCGATAAACACTGTGGACATAAAGTCCCACCATTCAGTTGAGAATCATCCAGGCACGTCCCAGAAACCCTGTTCAACCGTTAGATTATATTAGAGCTCCCAGCATCAGCCGGGGTGGGACTTTCAAATAATAAAACTGTGTCCTGTATTAGGACGGATGATGTATTTTACTCTTTGTGTCTCGCAGTGATTAGTGATTAGAAAGGATTATCATCACAGCACTCCGGACAGATCCATAGGTGCTCCAATCTCCTCCTCAAAAGCTCCACAAGTGTAAAATGACTGATGATGCCTGTTCTATGTTGGTTAATGAAACGTCTTGTCCTCTTAGTGAAATGTTCATTCTTGCAGCTCCAGGCTGCACCCCCATGTCCATCAGTCTAGACAGGGATATGGAGTCATGTCCTTTGGCGTGCTCCTCAGTACGGTAAGTGCAGCGCTTGGCATTGAAAACATCACTTCTGTCCAGTACTGGGCCAGCCATAGCAACTGCAGTGTCATCAAGATAGTCTGCATGCTCGTTCCCTCGAACACCGCATGACCTGGCACAAAGATGAAGGTTAGGGCAGATATTCGGGAAGTGCTTAGTGTTTCAATCCATTTTTGCCTGATAAATCCAGCTTGGATTTTTTCAAGCATATTCATTGAGTCACTAAGAAAGCATACGTATGTGAACTTTTGAGTACCAAGCCATGCTAAAGCCCTTGTTACAGCCATAGTTTCCATTGTAAGGCTACTAGTTGTAACAGCAAAAGCGCCATTCATCTCCTTGATGGTTTTCCCCCTTGAGCTTACTGTGAAAGCCCATGCACTTCGCTGGCCCCTTATTACTGACCCATCTGTGTAAACTACAGCATCACCTTCATCTGTGTTTTCATCAATCAGTGTCAACAATGCCAGGAATCTGCTCTCTACAACTTCCATCAAGTGTGATATGAACTGTAATATTAATGTTTGAAGAGGGAGGCATAATTATCCATTCCTTTTCAAAATTAATGTCAGTAAGCGGCAAACATATTCGATGGCATCCTCAGCACGACCCATCCAGGATTTGCCTCGTTTGAGTCTACTCTTTTTTTTGCTTAAATAATTCCTCATAAAGTGGGTGTCGATGGTCTGATTTCACTTTGAGAAAAGCAACAGCCCTGGATAGCTTGATTCTGTTTTCCATTGTGGGGAAATCCAAGGGGTATCGCATGGAATTACAGGAGGTGTCTCTAGTGCATTCAAGAATAATGCGCATTGCCTCGTTTTCAATTTTTCCCAGTCTGCATCTGTGTGGTGCTGATTGTCTTGCAGTGTTTTTATTTAACTTCTCAAGATTCAAACACTGGCTATTTTACACAGGAATATCTCCTGACATAAACAGTTTGAGTAATTATAGGCTAGTACCAAAAGTGTTAATGAAGAAGCTTAAACTGTTTAATCAGTTTATGTGGTTAATTTGTGTAGACTGTTGTTAAGTTTAAGTAACTTCTGCTTTATGCCTGAATCAGCAGACGCAAAGCTAGAACTATAAAATACGTGGATATATTTTAAGAAAATATGTTACCTATGTCTGTAAAATGCGAGATAATTTTTGTACCATAATGTTCAAGGGATGTACAGTGGTGGTTTCCCTAGCCTTGTGGAGATTTGTCTACTAGCCTTAAATACATGGGCTTAAACATGTGATACAAATATATGTATAAATATTTTGTGTGTGCGTGTGTCTGTAACATGAAAGTGAGCTGTCAAATCAAACTGTAATAGGGATGTAGAATAGAGGTTAGCCTTTGTCTAAACAGACAGGTAACAAAAGCAATGATGTGGCTAGAGACACAGCATTATTCACATGCATGCTTTCTGTGTGATTCCATGTGTCTGCTTAACTCTTTGAGGCCCAAGCAACGGTGTAAGCATCGATTGAGAAGTTCCATTTTGCCCAAACAATGCTGTCATCATCGATCATGTTTCCCGTACAATTTGCTTCGCACACGGCTCCGTACTTGTTTCTAATGTTCGGAAGTATGATTAAACTATTCAGGGAAAGTCATTCTGCAAAAATCCTTTCAGATACTTTCCCTATCAGAAATCACATGTGCATAATTTGAATGGATTCACAGCTAAATGTTTTTCAACAGTGCATTTTCTAAGTTTGTTTTTGAGTGCCATGAATACTAAAGTTCCCACCACAAGTATAAGTCGCAGAATGCGTCTTTCTGCGGCCAAAGCTCTGAAATTGTTTCAGTCAGATGTTTTTAATTCTGATAATGATAATCTTCAGGCAGATTATTAGATTTTTCGGAAAGTGATACAGTCGGTGATTTTTCATCAGCGAAGCTGAGGGATCAGCTGTTCTGAATCTAGCGATTCTGATGAGTATATTACACAGACAATGTCCTATTGCTACCGCATTTATGGTGTAAGAGAAGGAAAGTGCTCTAAACAAAGAGATTGTACTATACTATGGCTAAGCTGCATTTAAATCATCACAGTTACAGTCTGTATATAACTGTACAAAGTAAATGGTAAATAGCATTTGTGTAATGGCTCATTTTTCGGCCATTTTTTCTCGGAAATTTTTCTCGGCACTCTGTGAGAACTAAGAGCCCTTGAGTGCTAAACTAACCCAGAAACTTATCATTACTTTGGAATTTGTTAGGAAATTGAACAAACTTTGAAGCTTTGTTCTCAAATTTGGATATTAACTACATGTGTGGCTGCAAAATCATGTAAGTGAAGAATTTGTTTGTAAAATGTTGTTGTTGTGAAATGAACACCTGCTGAATTCTTTTTTCCTACTAACTATAGAAAAATTAAACATACACTTATCATCAGATTCAAAGTGTACATTCATTTGTCTTTAAAAATGCATCTACTTTTATTAGGATTAGAAGTATATAACATTCTCAATTGCCTTTCTTGTTCACCCACCCCTCTACCATTTTTGTAAAAGGAAATTAATGTGGGCCAAGTCTGTCAAAATGCATGGGCCTGAAAGAGTTAAGAAAGAGACAGGATGGATTAAAAGAAATGGTTGGAGTCAGTGAGAAAGTCTCATCTAAAAGGAATTAGGTTAATTTTTGTGCTGGGACACTCTGGGGTAAGAGGGGATGAATAAGCGGATTGGCTTGCTGACAGGGCCATGATAGGTACAGGAAAAGCAATGGACCGGGCTGACATTCTCAATTCTCTTAAGGAGGCAGGACGAGAAGATGATTCAGGAGACGAATCGGCAACACTCAAAAGACTACAAGAACTTTAGGTTAAAAGAGGTGACACCAAACATGAACACTAAACAGGTAGCCAAAGAAGAATAGTAAACTAATACAGAACTGGTGTTATCAGATGCCACACACTGAGGGATATACTGAAGATGGGATCCGAGCGCTTATGGACTTGTCAGATATACAGCGAGGATAATCTGTCAATTAACTAACTAACTAAACAGACAAACCCTGCAATATAATAAAGATAACGGTTTATTGTCTGATATCTGTATAAAAGATACTCAACCATCTGTTTTAAAGATGAACTAAAAATATGATATTGTTTAATAGGTATATTTAGAAAATGTTATGTATCTACCAGTGAGAACATTGCTGAGTGTCTGGCCAACATACACGGTTGTGTACTGAGAGAGTGTGGCCGTCTGTCGTGGGCTGGAGATATCAGTGCTGAGATACACCTAACATCTTGCACACCCCTGGAAGAGAAGAAAGAGCAGCTGAGAGCAGAAAATGCTATTGTTCCCAACCTGCCTTACTCCAAGGTCATCCTACTGGAGAGAATCAGGTAAGCCCCCACAGCTGGCAGCCTTATTGCTTGTTCATTATCTCCTTTGTTTCAGTGTTGTGAAATCTTTTCACACTGAGCCCTGCACATTCTGCAACTCAGAAGTTGGTATGTCCAGCTTTGGAAGTCTTTTTTTTTTTTTAATCTTCTTTATTTACCTGTTTGTGAAATTTTGTCACAATTAGCCCTGCACATTTTGTAACAAAGCGGTGAATGTGTCCTCTCTTTCTTCTATTTCGCGTTCACCAGCTGTAAACTCCAGTGGAAAGTTCTGGTTGTTTGTCCAATTCTGGACAGTAGTCCTGTTCCAGAACCTAGGTGTTGCATGCACATCCATTTCACAGACCTGACTTATTTGTATACAGACTGTTGGTTCCTTGCCTCTCATGCAAGCTCCCAGTTAATCGACTCTTACGACATGCTTTTGGGTAGGCAGTGGGTCTATTCTTGTTTTCCCTATTTTAGGGCCCTGGAACCCACATGGGAAGGAATGTGTCTAACCTTAGCAGGCTTTTATATAACATTGGCTTCCATGTAAAATGGAATAATGCCATTAGGAATAATCTTAGAGAAGTGAATTCCAGCTTACACACTATGTATTAAAAAGAACACACAGATGATCCTGGCTAACTATATTACACATCTCCCCCACCCCATCCCCCCCCCCTTTTTTTCCCCAGCACTTTGCTGCAATAATGAAAGGAAGAGAAGAAGAACTTCCATATCTACATTTCATCTATATATCTACCCTTTGGTAGGTTTTTTACCATCTCAAAAGTTTACCAGGGCATTATCCTTAAGACCTACTTATTGTAACCTCTATTTCCTGTAAGGAAACCATTTTCATAAAAAATGCTATTAATCTGCTTAGAGGAGACAGTTCTAAACAACAAAGTAAGATAAGATCAACAACAACAAAACTTTAACATGGTGAATATGACTGAGATGATTTAATGGTAACTTCAGGCTCACAAGTTAATCTTTTTGCTCCCAACACAATGCTGCAAATGTGTATATGAAACATTGGGTTCTAATATCATATATTCCTGGGGTAAGGAAATCAAATATTTAATAACTAGAAAGCTGGATGTAAAGAAAGGTACAGGAAGATAAATAGAGAAGATTTTTTACATCTTTTTAAATCATGGTATGTGTAGTGATGCTATAAATAGGTATAACATAAGGAGTTTGACTGGTTGACAGAATTGGGGAAGTCCCTAGACTGAGAGACATGAAGATGACGGGAGAATGGCAAAACACAAGATTGTGGAAGCTCACCTGGGAACACGAGGTCAGGGGGAATAGCTGACTGGGAAGTCATTCTGTGACATGACCCCAGAGAGATAGGAACGAAGGTGGATCAAGAGTGCAACAAAGTGAATGTTCATCCAAGGGGCAAGGAATGAATGCTGTGAAGTGGTCATAGCCTAACCAATTTGAAGCATAGCTGAGGACAATGGAAGTGTCCTACTGACTGTTGATTGTGCCAACCATGTGTATGTCAGCGTTGACCGTGGCCTGACGTGACTCTATACCCAAAGTGCGAGCAAGTTGACCCTGTCTGGATAGAGTGTGTTAGGCTGTATCGTTGATTCTTGATGCTTTTGTGGTATTGGAAATAAACATGGAACTGTAGATAACCCTCATTGACTGTCATTTGGAGACGTGTGGTAGTTTGTTGGGAGAGAAGTCTGCCTCGTCTAAACTGTCTTACCCTAAGACAACAGGCCATGTTGACTGTACGATCAAGAGCTAGTACAAGAGAGACATATTGCAGTATGAAAATGTATTTGCACATCAGTTGATACTTGCTTGTGGAGATTGCAAGGTGTGGAGAAGCCTGTCAGTCATCGAGGAATGTAAAGAGCTAAATTAAGAACCAGTATCAAATCACTCTGGAAATGTCCACTCCATCCACATCTTCAGCAGCCAGTCCAAATCTGATAGTTCCAGTAGCAGTTTGATTTTGTGTCCATCTTGGCTTTGTTCAGAGTGTAGTGTGCGCCAGATCTCCTGGTCACTCCCTTCTGCTCCCTTCATTCCACATTATAATGGTCTATTTGCACTTCTGCATTGCTCACTTGCTCCATATTCCATACTAATTTTGTGCATGTTGCTGCCTGAGATAAACAGTATGTTTTGGACTAAAGTCACACAATTATTCTGAAACCATGCTTCTTTTAAATTCTTTATTTGAAGACTCAACCACTTGAATGAAAACAGCAAAGCTAGAAATGAAATCTATGTTGGACCGACATCATACAGACGGTTCATGGATACCTTTAGACATTTGTATTTAAACAAGAAAAAGGAGAGAACTGCTTCCTTTGAAAAATTGAAGTAAGTTATTTACTTTTTGCTAGATTTGATAACTGAAGATAGTGATAATGTTTTTATTTTGTTAACATTTTTTATTTTATTTCATTATCATAATGTAGTAAGAACTCCACCCAAAGTTCACCCAAAAGACTCTTGTTGATACGTCCATTTCTATGTCTCTAGCATTTTGGTGCTAAGGGCAGCTTAAGTGTTCTGCATCTACCTTCATGTTAGTCTGACCTGCCTTATTATATGAACTAAGGAGTCCATTCTTGTTCTTTCTACTGTGAACTTGGTGGAACCAAAGTATTATAAGGTGGCACGCTACTGATGAAGGGTGGTCTTTCTGACCGGTCACCTGGGTACAAACTTCTGAGCGGAAGTAATAAATAGAACTTTGTACTCAAGTGACCAGTTGGAAAGCCCACCATTCATCAGTTGTGTGCCATCGTTTGCTATCTGAACAGACTGTAAACAAGGACACCACATTTCAAATTCTTCGTATGTCGTCCAATGGTAGATTGCAAAGTATTTTAGTTTCCAGTACATAACATTGTTTTATAAGCCAGCTTTCTTGGACTTGAAAAATAGTAACACCTGTTTCATTTTTAGATTTCATCATCATTACAGTATCTTGACACTGCATGTTGCTGCATGACCATTTGCTGCTGACTGTCTGGTCAACTGCCTCCACTTCTGTCAGTCAGATATAGGGACTTTATGTTTGCGTGTTTCAGGCCTGTCCTTTCAGTTAATTCTGTATCCAGGTCTCTTCTCTGTTCCTTTCTACCGAGCCCTGTAGTATTGTTTTGGAGAGGTCAGTAGATCTTATTAGACATTTGTTCCAATGCATTTTTAATCTTTTCACTGTTTTATAGAGGTTCTTAGCTGCCAGTATGTTGAGTAACGATACAACAGAATTCATCACTTGTGATGTGGTCTTTGCACAATTTACTTATCTTTCAAAAAGATCCCATTTTCAATGCTTACACTTTAAGAATAATCTGATCTATCAGTCAACATGGTGCGTCTCAGACAGTATTTTAACCCTGGCAGACCCTAATCCTCTCCAGATGGTCATTTGGCTGTTAGCCTTTATCTATGTTGAAGACCAAGGTTGGCATAAGCAAGTCCCTGGGTGCTTATTCACACATTCAAAGACTGTGTGAACATGTCATTGGGAGCCTCACTAATGCTGTGATTACATCATTTGCTTTCCAAACCAAAGGTTGAATCCCAGTTGAGGGCAAGGATTTATTTAAAATTATCTGAATTCTCAGTTGAGGGCAAGGATTTATTTAAAATTATCTGGATTCCCAGTTGAGGGCAAGGATTTATTTTAAATTATCTGGATTCCCAGTTCAACTTATCCTAAACTTTTTGCCATGAAATATTCTAGGAAGTAAATGTAGCTTGCCTTTTACTGGCACATCACTAATTGACTGTCAGTTGGCCTATGAAGTTAACACTACATACTTAAATATGCCCATAGTTGTGCCCCCAAAAGTGTTTTTCTGTATTCACTTGCTGTCATAACAGACCCATAACAAAGTGATCAAACCATTTGCCTCATGCTGTGATGGTTAAGGGTTTGTTTCATAGATGCAACCCTGGGGATCATCGCTGCAGTGTTTATGCTTTGTATAACACCCTCAGTGAGTAGCTAGCTGTTCTGCTGATTGAGACCAAGCCATGTGGGATCAAACCCAGTACAGTGAAGTCAATCTCTTTTGGCTTGAATAAGTTGGTTTTTTTTTTTTTTTTAACTTTGAACAATGACTGTAGACTACAATGGATCTTCAAAACACTGTGTCTCTTGCATTGATTGTACCCTCTGACAAAAAGACTACTTTTTGTCTAATTCTTCATGTTATCTTCCCACTTGTGGCACAGTACACCTATTGAGCCTCTACATTAATCTTTTACCTCCAGTTTTGTGTGTGTGTGTTAAGTTTCATGACTTTTAATGTGTCTGAAATATTTCAATTGCCTTTTTAAATTCATTTTATAAACTCTTTTTATTCCCAATCTCTGAAGAGCCTCTATATTTGATGTTTTATTTCACACTTCACTTACTTCAATTCAAATAATTCTTTTTCTCTTTTCCCTAATATCTGGTACTTCTAGAGCACTAGCCACACTTGACAGGACAAAGGCAGACAGCAAAATCATGAAAAAAGCCATTATGACTACTACAGCTCAGTTTGAAGAGGCACAGGGAAAAACAGCACAGATATTGAACAGACTGACTGTGAAGGTGACGACCTTAGAAAAGTTGAAGGCCAGAGTTGGGATTAGCAAATCTCTTGATGCTTACCTGCAGTTAGATGAAATAAATGTGGAGAATGAGGAAGAAGATGATTTGCTGAAAGAAGGTAATCATTTAAGCATTTTCAGTCCTAATTTTACTGCTATAGATTTGTGAATAGAAGGTGAGTTCATTTCTGCATGTAATAAATCTGTTGGTGCTTTCCTAATATCCTACCCCAAACAGGGAAATCCACAGGTCACAGGATATTACTAAAAGAACTAATCTTTTCATTATTAAATTAACAACAGTGAAGTGACTAGTGGATGCTGATGTGGTGTAGCGGCTAGACCCTTGCCTGTGGATTCGAAGGTCATAGATTCAAATATAAACATAGACTTTTTTCAGAAATGACCTTATCTTCCAGATCGACCCAGCTTCAAATGTGTTCTAGGTAAAGTTGTGGCAGTAAACACGGTTGGCGTGATGATGGCCACATGACCCTCTGACTGCCGATTGGTCTGAAAGCACTATATACCTAATAACCTAAAGGCACGGGAAAAGGTCTTTTGTAAATGAATAATATTATGTTTGGGTTGTTGTTTACTGCTTTACTCTCTTATGTATTTGTGCTTTAATTTAATTTTTAACAGTATCGTAAAGAGTTACATTTACACTGTTCCTTCAATCCTGTGAACCAATTTCACTGGCAATTTGGGAGGTTTTGCTCTCCAAAGTCTTTAACTTTCACCAGTAAGCCTACGAGTCTGCAGGTTTCTGTGTCTCATTGTCAGGTTCTTTCCCATTGACCTGTCCCACAGGGAAGACCCTGCTAGCAACTATGTGGCCATTAGAATAGCTCTTTGAGTTATCTAGCTGTCCAAAAGAGAAGACCCTGCTAGCAACTATGTGACCATTAGAATAGCTCTTTGAGTTATCTAGCTGTCCAAAAGAGAAGACCCTGCTAGCAACTATGTGGCCATTAGAATAGTTCTTTGAGTTATCTAGCTGTCCAAAAGAGAAGACCCTGCTAGCAACTATGTGACCATTAGAATAGCTCTTTGAGTTATCTAGCTGTCCAAAAGAGAAGACCCTGCTAGCAACTATGTGACCATTAGAATAGCTCTTTGAGTTATCTAGCTGTCCAAAAGAGAAGACCCTGCTAGCAACTATGTGACCATTAGAATAGCTCTTTGAGTTATCTAGCTGTCCAAAAGAGAAGACCCTGCTAGCAACTATGTGACCATTAGAATAGTTCTTTGAGTTATCTAGCTGTCCAAAAGAGAAGACCCTGCTAGCAACTATGTGACCATTAGAATAGCTCTTTGAGTTATCTAGCTGTCCAAAAGAGAAGACCCTGCTAGCAACTATGTGACCTTTAGAATAGTTCTTTGAGTTATCTAGCTGTCCAAAAGAGAAGACCCTGCTAGTAACTTTGGAAAGATCTTTGAGTCCTTTATGCCTGTAAGTTATTCTAACATTTAAAAACTGAAACAGAATATTACTGATGATAAACTGAAAAGGCAATACAGAAAGAAGATGGCTACATTTTGTAAGCTTGAATATTATTTATCATTTTCTGTCGCTATACAAATATAATTTAAAGCATATATGATAACATTCTTACCTTCTTTTATAATGATTAATTCATTTGAATATAGATGTTATGTTATCACAATAAACGTCTTTGCACATTGAGCATTCCCATGCATGCTGAGTCCTCTGATGCAGCAGCAACTCCAGGGTACGTCTACTGATTATTCCCCATGAGAAGTTGATTATAGTGTCCCCTGCCTTTATCTCGAAGACATCATAGATGTGCTTCACCAAGCTTAACTCCTTGGTCAAACAATCGTGTTAGCATAAGAGATTCAACACTATTCCCCAACCTAATCCATACAACATTGATGGTATCAGCTCTGTCCATGCTTCTTCCCATTCGTGTTGGTGCATTACTTGCCAGCTGGTCAGCTCTTTCACTCCAATTTACTCCTGCATACCCTGGTCTTTACATCCAGATGATGGAGGTTAACTGCGACTTCTAAATGCTTTCTACCTATTCAGAGAGTAGACCCCCTGTAGCAATTTTCTGAAGCATGTTCACAGAGTCTGGAATGATTACCTCATGTGTGGCCCTATCCTTTGTGCTGTGTATGCCCAGGCTGATTGTGACCCATGCGTGAAACCCAACTGTGTAAATGTTGACGTCTTCTGGGCGTGACTGCTGATCAGTCATTGCTCTAATCTTGGCATCTACAGTGGTAGGTAACTGAATCCTGCAGTACGTCCCCAGTGTTATGACAACCTTAGATAAGTCATGCATCCATCTGTTCTTTTCCTGACTGATCTCATCTAGGTCACATACTTGCTGGATGGGATTTTCTGCCAGGAGGAGCCTCTTTAAGGCACATCCCTTTTATATCATTGATAGCGTTGTGCAGTGGGTGGTTGATGTCTGCAAATATTCTCATGTGCGCCTTCACCCAAACCACTTTATGTCTTGTGGGCATTGTTGGTAAACCCAGGACATACCACATTTAAATATATATATGCTCAATGACATATTAAAATATGATTATTTGATGCTTTTTATTTTCTGCCTCAGAGGAGTATGATGAGTATGATGCTGAGTTTGACAGAATGAAAGAGGCAAATATGAAAACTCGTGGAGTGCAGGCCAAAGAAGAGTTAATTGATATACAGGCACAAGTAAAGGAATGTAGAACCAGTCTGGCATATGCAAGACAGCAAGTAAGTTTTGATCATAATAATCTGCAACTTTAGACATTTAAAATGTATCAAATGTGTGGTACTAGTATTGACTTACCATGACCTTGGCTCTCAGGTCGACCAAGTTTTAAATGGGTACCAGTTAAAGTCCTGACACGTAAAGACAGGCGGCGTGATTTTGACCACACCATCCATCAAGGCCTGATTGGTCCATAAAAAATATGTCTTGCCTTATATTCCCGTTGTCTCACTGGCATGTAAGGGGACATTTTCTTTTTTACTGGTATTTGACTGGGAAATAAAACAGTATAATTTTGGGTAGTTAAGCCATATTAGCTACCTGTTAATTTCTATAATCAAAGAAGCTTTTTTTAAAGAATTAGTCAGTGACTAACAAATAAATAGATAGACTAAAGCAATGGTATGCTGTATAATCCCAGTGTAAATTATGCTATCATACGGCTTCTAATTTAAAAACTTCAGCCTAAACTCTCCTACCCAATACATATAATACCATAAAAAGATATGCTTTACGTTTGCACAACTTCAGTATTGAAAGCACATTTTGCTTTTGAAATTTGAATTCTTAATATTTGGTCGCATGTGCTCCTCCTTAGTATTTGGGTTTGCTTTCTGTTCTTAATATTTTTAGTAATGCTATCAGTACTAGGGAATTTATAGCAGATGTGGGATACTACATTTTTATGAATAAATAAGGCCTAGATTTCCTTATGATGGTCTTCTTCTTCTTATTTTTTTAAAAGAATGAGAAGATCCCATCTAGGTCATCTCATCATAACTTCTTCTTTCACTGCTTCAGGTGTCAAGGGAAATATAAGGTACTGCTTCTTGCTCTTCTGGCCGCCTTGATCGTAGACACATTTTGCTGTTGTATAGTTCATTTGATATTATTTTTCCATATTTTTCTTGGTATACCTCGGGACTTTCCTCCAGCTCCTATTTTGATGTATACCCGGTATGGTATGGGATCACAAGGAATTTTCTCTAAGTGGATAATCCATTTTATTTGCTTCATTGTATACAATTTAGAATTGGTTCAGTACCAACTTCATCTCTTATGACCTTGTTCCCCAACTTAGCTTTTCTGCTCACTCCTGCAGCCCTTCTCAGACATCTCATTTTTTTGGTTGCTAATTTTCTGTTCTGGTTTGTTGTGAGTGACTATTAACATGGTCAAATAAAACATATAAGAAATAGGTTTACATACATAAAAAAACATGTTGCTTTGTTTAGGTCAGAAAGAGTTCTTCTTCTTCTTCTTTGCGTTCACCGGCTGTAAACTCCGGTGGAAAGTTCTGGTTGTTCGTCCACTTCTGGACTGCAGTCCTGTTCCAGAACCTGAGTGTCGCGTGTGCATCCATTTGACAGATCTGTATGCAGACTGTTGGTTCCTTGCCTCTCAGGTAGATGCACTCCGACTTCGAAGCTCCCAATTAGTCGACTCTTACGACATGCTTTTGGGTAGGCAGTGGGTCTATTCTTGTTTTTCCCATAGTAGGGCCCCGGAACCCACACGGGAAACAGAAAGAGTTGATATCCTAATATTTGAGTTGCAGTATGAATTCTATCAATGTAAATTTTCTCAGGTAATGCATTGGAAAAGCAAAGTAGACCGCAATGTGGTTGAAAGAATTCGAGCTTTTCAGAACCCACCTGTTCTTGTTGGACAAGTTGTTGAAATGGTTTTGGTGCTTATTGGCAAGCGCCTGCCACCTCAAAGAATCGGCGCAGCCAAGGAGAGACACTCTGGCAGAGAAGACTTGTCTTCGCATTTGTCGACTAGTTCAGGCAGTAGCAGACTGATAGCAAAGAAAGGTTTGTATCATATGCTCTTCCCTTGTGGGTTCTGGGTTTCTTTTTAAGGGAAATGCATCTCATGAAGAGCAGCTAATAACGGATGTTTCCTTTTGAAGTGGGAGTGCGTCAAACTGAGAGGCAAAGTCTGGGTGCAAATGAGCCAGACCAGAGCTGTAAAAGGAATGTGTGTGCAAAAACAAGACGAAAATCTAGAAGGGGATGAACAACTAGAACTTTTCACTGGAGTTTCAGACAGTGAGCATGAAGAAGAAGAAGAAAATAGTAAGCTCTATTCAAATGTTTATCATATAGAGTGGCTTTCTTTACTCTTTCATAAATCTGTCTTGATTTTTAAAGAAACATTTCTGGTTAATTGGCTCCCCAGAAGGTAAGTAAGTAACTAACTTTAACCCCACCAGGACATCACACAAGCGATAAACACCTGATGACACTAAGTGCCACATGCAGATGAGGATCACCCGTGGAGCGGTCCCAGAAACAGTGTTCAGCCAATAGACCATATTTATGACTGGGCTATAATGCGGCCCCTGGCAAGAGCCAGAGTAGGCTTCAAAAAACGACAAATTGCATCGCACAGAGGAATGACAAGATATTAATAAAAGGTAAAAAGGCAAGTATGCAGAAGGTTATGTAGGCAAGTGGACAGAAAAGGTAGAAACAAATGTTACTGTACCAAAATATTGTTATCTATCATACTGTGGTCCTAGGCTCATATTATCTGTAGGGTTTCTTAAATAAAAATAAACCACATGGCTAAAGAGTCGAACATAAAAAAGAGTACCTATTTTTTTCTGGAAGATAGTGGTGGACGTGGGAATGATACTTACCATAGTGTCTATCTAAAACAAAATCAAAAACAAGTTAGTTGTGTATCCTTTGCAGGAAATTGACTCAAAGAGCATGTTGAGAAAGGTGGAGACAGGCATGCCTCATGCAGAGTCGCAGGCCTCACTTCAGAGGTCCCAGGTAGTTAGCATCCTTTGGATATTTTCTCCCGGTTATGCCGGTGTGGTGGGAATGAGCAGGCAGATAGGCTGGCTGGTTCTGTACCACTTGGTGGTGAACTGATGTATCACAAGCTAGATGTTGTGAGCGCCCTTTGGGAGCTAGTGAACAGTTCTGAGGAGCAGATAGATCATAACGGTCTGATGAGAATGGCACTGCAAGGAGTTACAAGGGGATCTGGCTGTCGCTCGACATGCAGGGGAAAGGCGAGACAGATATACAATCAGACAGTTACTGGTACCATAGGAATTTTGACTCTTCCCTTGCTGCTGAAGATGGAGACGGAGCACTTATGGGGGTGTCCCAAGTGCTGTGATGTCGATTCTTAAATTAACATTCAACAGCATTCAACATTTGTGCAGGAAATTGCAGAACCAGCCCAAGCATGTTTGGGCTGTTTGGTTTTACTAGGCAATTTTTTGTTCAGTAGTTTTCCATTGCTTTTGGAATGGTTGGTGCTCGATATCATTGTTGAAATCTATGCACAGCAGTCTGCTGCCAAATCACCTACAGCTAGAATAACTTACCAATATTAAAAGCTAGTGTATTCTTATGCTGGCAGTGTCATGTCACTAAGCTTCTAAATGGACACTGTTGCAGCAAAAATCAAAGATGCCGGTGACAGGTTTGATAAGAGCCAGTGGAAAAGCATACAGCAGACAATGACAGACTCTGTGAAGTTTGTGGACATGCTTCTGAACATCTCTTGGGAGGATGGGCTCCCTGCTGAAGTGCTTTCTGGTATGTTTGCTCATTCACAGTGTGTGTTGTTTTTTTTTTTTTTTTTTTTTTTTTTTTTTTATTTCAGATGTAGGCATACAGGGAAGACGTCATGCATAAAAATAAACAGTTGGGAAACCACTGAGGTGGTTAAAAACAGTATAATAAACAGTCTGACATGTATTGATTGGCATTCATAGAAAGAAGTAGAGAGATTGGAAGACACTCTAGATGACATAACATGTGATGCTATAGTTAACATACTGGGAAGTGAACCTGTCACCTTGAATTAATGACAGTGCCTTGCTGCAGAAACTAATGTACTTTGATGCATGGCCAACCAGCACTCCTGAATAAGATATCAACCTCTGAGACTAAATTCATCACACATCATGTCGCAGTACATCCATTTTTCAGTTTATGAGCCTCTGAAAAGAGCTCACATTACTTGTGACATTCTTTTTCTTATATTCCTGCAGTGTGGCATTTGTAATCCTATCTGTTCACAGCTTTCTGCCTTGTCTATCATCAGTCATTTCTAACACAGTTGTTCTTCTATGCCGTGATGCAAAACTGAACTTCTGTTTTGGTCTCCCTCTGCCTTTCCTTCCCTCCAACTTTCCCATATTTATAGTGTACTACAGTTTTCTGGTTTATCTGTGTGCATTGATTGTTCTATGCCACTCGGTCAGATGCACTCCAACTTCAAAGGAGGCTCCCAATTATTTGTCTTACGACACTGTTTTCTTTTTTTTTTTTTTTTTTTTTTTTTGATTGTTAGGTAGGTAGTGGGTCTGTTTTTGTTTTGCCCACAGTGGGGCCCCAGAACCCACATGGGTAATATTTTGTAGACCAATTGGCACGCTCCCTTTACTTCTCAGGACTTTCCCTGGTACCCATTTTAGGTGGGATCGACCTGGGAGCCAGGTTCATTGTTTAAAAAAAAGACAGAAGAAAATCTGACTCATTGTGAATTTGAACCTGTGACTTTCAGACCTACAAGCAGCTTCCATAATTAAATGTGATTTGTAATATGCTCCTAAGTTTTACTGGTTTTCATTCCACAGTAAGCTTTAATTTAATTTAGATTCTCCAACACATAATGCATATAATATTATTGTACTTCAGCTGTTGAAAGCTATTTGGCTTGTAGCAGAGATGGACAGTTGGGAGTAACTGGAGAGGGAAGCTTACTAGAAAATGCTGAAGGTGATATATATTTGTAATTTTTATTTCTGGATTCTTTAGAAATTAATATTTATAGAAATAGAAGTGAGACAAAATAAATCACTCTCTAGTTATAATGTTATTAACTCTTTCATTCCCAAGGAATGTATTATATGCTGATAGGCTCCTACCCAGAAGCCCAGTGAATGCAAGATGTGCTGATTTTACGTCTGTCTTTATTATCCCTTGGGCCTCAATCCCCTGGGATTCAAAAAGTTGATGTATGGGATCTAGGAATTTATTTTGTCTCTATGTTTAATTACTACTGTCTAGTATTTTAGTCAAATTCTTGACTCACCAGGTTACCTTATAGCTGTAAGTTTGAGATATAGACTGTCAAATCGAAATTATGAATTGCACAGATATCTCAATGCTGATAGTTCTGTTCAAATTACTGCACAAATTACTTTCAAGAAGAAAACAATTGCTGTTTTATAATGCACATAGTTTTACATGTCAAAATAACTATCAAAAGTGTCTTTTTTTTTTTTTTAAATTCTTAAACCAAACAGACAAGTTAATAAAAACATGTGATATTTTTACTGGAGGCACAGTAGCTTATCATACATAACACAGTGATTGCAGAATTAGTTAATTGTTTATATTTGAAAAGCTTTAAATTTGGGCATTAATTTTATTGAATCTTTGTTTTGTATTTTTTTTAAACATGATCTGAGTAAAAGCAGATTGCACAGATATATAAAGCATTATTATTATTTACTATCGGACACTCAGACAAGCACTTTCAAGCTGTCAAGCAAAGTTCACCTTCCCCTGGCGCAAGAGGAGGTCTGACAATAGCAGGTGTTAAATATGCCAGTGAGGACTGTGCTACATTGGTGCACTACACAATTGCCATAGTTGAGTACAGCCGGCTTTGTGGACCGCTCCGAATGGCTCTAGAGAGAATGCATGAGTTGGAGCGGGAGATTGAAAAGAGTGAGGAGCTTCAGAACCAGCAAGAGGTCTGTTGAGTTTTTTTAATATAAAACCTTAAAATTTGTTAACCAATTGTGCAGCTGATGTTTAAAATGGATAGTGATTAAAATTAAAATAGCAATGATCATACCACTTTTTTTATTAAATAAAATTGCTGTATTCACAGTTTAGGCAATTTAAACACAATACAGATTAATATTCATCATTGTACATCTTATGCATGTGTAGAGGCGCATGTGTGAATAACTGTGCCATTTTTTCATCTGCTTCTCTCTTTTCATTTTTTTTTAGCACTTCTGCTTTGTTCTTGGTTTCACTATTTTCATTTATTGAACTTTTAGTTTTCTTTACAATATTTATTGAGATATATAAATTACTTTTTGTGATATTTAAGTTTCAAAGCTTAATACAAGGAAAGTAAATTGTCATATATTATGATTGATGCTGACCACATTGGCCACTTAGTGCCAGTTGACCTATAAAACAGAGATCTGGTCCTAAATGCCCAATTTTCCAGAAGGTGGGGAAAAGGATCCTTTACTTTGCTTACTTGGATGTTAAAATATCTAGCCATGGGTCCTTACTGTAAACAGATCAAATGGAAAGGATTATTGCCCAACTGGGTTTGATACACGCAGGCAAAGTAAAGTAAAGGACCCTTTTCCACACCTTTAGGCCTATGGAGCATATAGGGCTAGATCTATATTTTATAGACCAATCAGCACTTAGTGGATGTTGTTGTAAACATTACACCAGCCACCTTTACCTCCCATGACTTTACCTGGTGCCTATTTAAGGCTGTGTCGACCTGGGAGTCAAGGTTATGGTTGGGGAAAAAAGTCTGGCTTTTTCAAGATCTGAACCCACAAGCTACAGATCCACAGGTAGGCAACCAGCCACTGCACTACAGAGGCTGCCACACATAGGCAAAGCTGAGCACAAATAGTGCACTATCCGACACTGAAAGAGATCAACAGTATGTCTCTGTTTTACAAAATGTAGACCCACATAAATCATCCCTTAAAGCAACAGAATTTGTCCAGTGAGGTTAAAGAGCCAAAATCAAAAGGACAATTTATAAAGTTTGTATAGTCTTTCTTTGGACATGCTACAATTTGTTCTAAAGGTTTTATGTTTTTTTTTTTTTTCTCTTCATTTTTTTTTTATAAATCTGTGTTTAAAATGTTTCAAATACTCTGAAAATGAATATTGTTATTTAAATTTAAGATCAGTTGTCCTCTGTAATTTGTAATCTGTTTCATAATACTGCCTAATGAAAATAATTCTAAGTAATTTGATTTACCTTAAACAAGCACAACATTGACGTGGAGTCTAAACATGAAGAGGAGCAGGAGGAAGATTTATCAGAAGCTGATCTTCCTAGGATCCAGCAGCAGATAGCTGAACTTCAGAGTCAGTTTGACCTTGCTGTAGAAGAGAAGCATTCTCTAGAAGTAGAGCTGCAGTCAATGAATGATCGTCTGAAAGCTGCAAAAGAAATGGCTGACAGGTAGGGACATCAATCTACATTGTTTTTAATCTTTCAGTGAATAACAATAAAGCCTTAGAGTTTTTCCCATGTAAATAATTCTTCTTTACAGGTTTTATTGTTGTAGAAATATTAATTGAATAGAATACTTCCTTGATAATTTCCTGGTACCAGTTTTAGACTGAACTGACATGTGGACAGAGATAATTTAAGCTGTGCCTCAATAATGATTTAAGCACCCCAAAAACAGGCTGACAGGCAAGTGTGCTAGCCAGTGCACTATTACAATTTTCCAGAATGAAAATAGTAGTGAAAACAGAAAATACTAGTAGACATGGAAAATAGTAATATGGATAGAAATTAATAACAGAATGTTTAACAATAGTTACAGAAGTAGAAAATATTTATAGAAGTATAAAACAGGTGCAAAAAGTATAAAACAGTAGAAATAGAAAATAGTTGCAGATGTAGAAAATAGTTGCAGAAATAGAAAATAACTGCAGAAGTAAAAAAAAAAAAAGGTTGCAGAAGTAGAAAATAGTTGTAGAAGTAGAAAATAGTTGCAGAAGTAGAAAATAACTCTTCATCATTCTTTGTGTGCTTAAGACATCCCATATGGCTCAGATTTAATTTTTCCACTCCGCTCTATTGCATGTAACTCACTCAGTTTTCGACACTGAGTTCAGCCCTGCATTTTTAACCTCTTGTAATAATGTTCTTCATAATGTTTCTCTTGGATGTCCTCTTTTTCTCAGACTGAAAATAACTGCAGAAATAGAAAAATTGTTGCAGAAGTGGAAAATAGTTGCAGAAGTAGAAAATTGTTGCAAAAGTAGAAAATAGCTGCAAAAAATAGAAAAGAAATTTGCAGTTAGAAAAAAGTTCAGAAGTAGGAAATAGTTGTAGCAGTTGAAAACAATAGTAACGACAGAAAATATTTGAATGTGATTGGAATGAGAACACAAAGTTTGCTTATTATTTACCTCTGTGTTATCATTTACTTCTTTAGACCTGAATTTGCTATTTACAGTTATTTTTAAAGCATACTGATGCATGTCATTTTGATTATTGATCGTCATTTCTTGAAACAGCCTTCAGTTACAAGAAAGCAAGTGGAGACAGAGTGTGAAAGATAATGACAGCAATAAACTACTACTAGCAAATTGCATCACAGCAGCAGCGACCTTGACCTACTGTGGAGCTCTCTGTGTTGACACAAGGGAAGCCTCAGTTTAGCCATATATCATTAACATCATCATCATCATCATCATTGTTGCCTATTCTTTACAGGACGTTGCAGAACCAACTCCAGCATTTATTGGCTGTTGTGGTTTTTTAGGCAAATTTACGTTCATTAGTTTGCCATTGCTTTCTGGACGGTTAACTTCTCGATGCCACTGTTAAAACCAACGCAAGTCGCAGGGCCCGCTGCTGGGATTGAATCCGGCTGATCGGTATTCCGAAGCACATTCACAACGCCTAAGCCATAGACGCGGACATCATCATCATTAGTCATGCTTTTTTATTTTGAGTTTTCTGGGATTGCAGCCTGAAGGATGTAAAACCTGGTGACCTAAAGAGGTGCTATGCACATGATAATTGTTTAGGAGCAAATCCCAGAAACTTGTTCAGCTGTATAACATAATAATATTATGGCACCCTGTTCTTACAAAATAACTTGAAGTTCGGGGAGGGGAGGGGGGTGGGGGGGGGGGGGGGGGGGGGGGTAACAGATATAAAAATAGATTCTCCTGTCTATGTTCTTTATACATTCAGCCTGTGATTGTCTTCCATACTACTCCACCAACCCATCCAGCATTTACTGCAGCCGGTTCCAGTCTATAAAACCACATCACCACAGCCTCCAAAAAAGTTTTCACTAGTTTACTAACTGTCCATGATTCATACCCGTATATCAATTTAGGATTTATATAGCTTTTAAGAAATCTCTTTCAATTGACAAAGAAAGATTGCGTAAAATATTCTTCATTTTGTAAAATGCTGCCTTTGCTTGACCTATTCAACATTTAGCTTCCTTAATACATCTTCCATCTAATGTTGTCAGGGTACCCATGTACTCAAACAAATTAACTTGTTTGAGGTTTGTCCCGTTTACTTTGCTGTTGCATTTTGGAGGGTCAGTTTTCTTTGTGAATAATTACCTTCAGGTATACTGGGCATGTAAGGCTAGACTGAAAGACGAGGAACCAAAAGTCTTCATACAGAAAAGCTAGATCTGTTAAATGCATGCACATGCAAACTTCAGGTTCTTAACAAGACTAAAGACCAGAAGTTGATGAACAATCGTTACTTTCTGCTGGAGTATACCACCAGTTAAGAAGTTGTAAAAGAAGAAGAAGAAAATAAAATAAGAACAAGAACAAGAAGGAGGAGGGGAAGGACTGAATATGTAAACTGCTCTGCCAATAAACTGTTGTAGGTACTGTCTGCTGCTATTTTCAACCATTAAATTTATCCAGTTTTGTTTTTCCAAGCACTTTGATTACATTTTTTGTCTTATTGCCTTTTAAAACTTTTTTGGCTTTCAAACTTCTGTTTTATTAATCAACTTCTTTCTAATTATGAGTAACAAATGGTTGTTTACAAGAAATTTAAAAAAAAATAAAAAATAAAGATGATAACAACTTGAAAACCGTTTATTTTCACACATATAATGTCCCTTTATTTTTCAACATATTTTCTACCAACATTGATGCACTTGTCCCATTGTCCCTGTTGCATAGAACTGTAGTCTCTGTTTTCTAAACCACATTTTCACTTCACATTTAACTTCTGTGTCGTTCACGAAATGTCTCCAACCAGGATGTGTTTTCAATGGATCAAAAAGTTGGAAATTGCTATGGGCTAGGTTAGGGCTGTGAGGTGGATGTTCCAGAAGTTCCCAACCTATATGGTTAATTTTCTCCTGAGTTAACCGAGCCGTATGTGGTTCGGCATTGTCATGAAGGAGCAGTAATCCTCTATTCAGCAGACCTGGACGTTTTCTTCAAGTTGCATCATGAAACTATGCACTGCTTTATTGGATAATCATTTGTCAGCATAAATAGGAAGCATTTCCTTAAAATGTACTTTGCAGGCAGCCCTTTTGCAAACAAACAAACAAACAAATAACAGCACATTGTTCTTTGAGGGTTTACTCTGTAAGTACAGTCCAAAAAAAAAATTTTTCCTGTTTTGCGAGTGTGCATGCAACACCTAGCCTAGCGCCACCTAACAAATGGAGACATAAAGTTTGATGTTGCTGTCACAAAATGACACCTTTAGAAGTGACCAACTACATTTTCCTGCCATCCCATAACCATTTGTGACTTACTTATTGACTTCCCCTCATATCAATTTAATATTTTTTCTCAAAAATGTTATTCCTAAATCCTAGAGTTATTAACAGCTTTTGGCTACTACAAATTATTACACTAATGTGACACTGTCTTCTTTTAAAGAAAGCTAAGAAATAAATATGATGCAAAAAAGAAACAAAGGAACCTGGAAAGTTTGTCCATATGATGATTTGTCCACATTTATATCGTTGTATACATACTGCATACTTGATAACATTATATTTAGATATATGCAATTATGTTTACAGGCGTCGAATGGGAGAGTTTTTTATGCAAGTCTGTGAACATCATGGCTTACCGCTTCACAAAAAACAGCTCTTCAGAAATTTCGGACTAGCAGACTTTTTGTACACACCAGTAAGTGCCTAAAGAACATCATGTTCTTCTCCTATGTATTACTTTAGCCTATTCAGGAAACAGAATGATGACACAAACCTGGCATGCAAGATGCATGTTGAAGCAAGACTGGTTACCTAATCCCATAGAACAGAAGCTGCAAAATCCAGCCGGTCGTGAGCAAGTCTTCAATGGGTTTGCTGTAAGTTGCTTGACAGCTCACAGAAGCCAGCTTCAGGTCTTAAAAATTAGGTATCCAAGAAGGGTGGTCCAAATGATAAGAAGAGAAAAAGTTCACAAGCAGACAGTACATCCTGATCTTGAAACCCAGGCCTTACAAACCTTACAGTCATGGTTACAGTGGATTGGAAATGTATGAGGAACAGGAGAGAAATAGCTTTCACAGCAGGCATTGGAGGTGAAGAACCAGGGAACAAACCTCCAGGATGACCCAGGGTTTGTTGGGAAGACAGCATCTGACAGTTCCTGACTGAAAAGGACTGGAATAGAACACTGCAAAAAAAAAAACAGTGCTGACAGAGAAGTCTGGCGATCTCTCTGGTAAACTTCTACATCAGTGTTTCCCAAACTGTTCTTGAACGCGGCGCCTTTTTTCAAATAAAATTTTTCCACAGTGTCTTAACCTAAGTAAAAGTATAACTATTCGTGTCTTGGTTAAATTAATTATGAAGCTTTTACAATATTTTGCGGCACCCCTGTGAAGAGGTCACGGCTCCCAGGGGTGCCACGGCGCACAGTTTGGGAATCACTGCTCTACACTCCAGGGTAGAAGAGGATTGACTAAGTTGGCTGAGGCTCAGTGCTTGTCGTCTCTCCTTCCTAGACAGTTCTGAAAATTCTCCAGTGCACATTTTTATGAAGCTCAGTTGACCTCAGAGCCATGCTGTTCAGGAAAAAAAATAATCTATGTCTGCTGTTTATTGAATCCAGACCACTGTTTTAGCAAGCAAGTGCACTAACCACTCTGCCTCTTCTACTTCTTCACATTCATGAGCTGTAAACTCCGGTGGTAAGTTACGGCTGTTTGTCCACTTCTGAACTTTAGTCGGGTTTCAGAATTTAAGTATGCATGCACTTCCATTGTACAGATCTGGCTTATTTTGTATACAGACTTTTGATTCATTGCCTCTCAGACAAATGCACTCTGATTGTCACAGACCTCTGGGTGACCTTGCTGGTCCGTGGCTCGTAACTGGGCCTATGACAGACAGACTAACCTTTAACACACACTGAACCCGAACGCACACAGAGCACACACGACAATCTTTATTGTAAGTACAGGTAAGACAATAGACAGTTGACTTCCCACTGTGTGGCCACCTATTGCCTGGACCCTCTGGCGGAACGAGCTTTACAGTCGCCTCGCTCCCAGTACGTCCACAAGCAATCTCCTGGTGTACAAACCACAGCACGGCGAGATAAGCTCTTAACTACTGACACACTGACCAACCAAACTGTCACAGGCTCTGTCTAGCACAGGGTCAGAGTGCCAAGGTCATTCTCTCACAGAACATGTACATAAATACTCTACACAAGAACTATCCTATTCTAACAGAACACTGTACATAAACTATCCAGTCACTAACAGAAATATCCTAACTCTAATACTATCACTGTCTTGCTAAACGTCCTCTCTCCCTGACCGACGCACACCGAATGTCCTCTGTTCTCTCTATCCCTGACCGACGCACACCGAGTGTCCTCTGTTCTCTCTACCTCGTGTCTCTTGACCCCGTTCACCAGCTCAGTCCCAAAAGCGGTAATCGTGTTGCGGGTTTGTCCACAACACAGTTCACTCTTTCTTGCCGTGGCCAAACGCTTTATCCTGAACGCTGGTTTCGCCGTGCAATAACAGAACGGACTAGACCAGTCACGGCTCTGACCTTTGTGTCAACCCGGGGGTGTCACCTCAACACGCACACCTTACGGTGTGGTACATTCCACCACTGACTGTACTCACAGGGTTGTGACACTGATTTTGCACTAAACATTCTAATTAGTTGACTTTTACAACATGCTTGTCCGAGAACAGTCAGTCTTTTCTTATTTCCCCCACAGTGTGGCCCTGGAACCCACCCGGAAAACCACTCTGCCACTGTGGCTCATGTTTTTAAAGACCACATATATCAGTAGCTGTAGAAACAAGGACATCCAGGATAAATCCTACAGCAACCATTGATGAGAAAGGTCAAAGATGCCAGACTGGATTCGATCTTTGAGATAGAAAAGATTGCACAGAACAGAATAGAATGAAGGAATAGTACAATGGGTTTTCCACTAAACTGGAAAACATGAATGTGAGAAAAGTGGCCATCTTGATGCCACACTCAGTATACTTGCTTGATTAACATGAGCAGGGTCTTGCTAGTCACACTCGCCATCACTGTGGGCTATGATTCCCATACTTTTCCATAACACAGTTGTCGGGAAAGCCGGAAAGGTGCTAAAAACAACAAATGGCACTACAAGATGGTGATGGTGAAGAGGATGATGATGATGGTGGTGGTGATGATAGTGATAGTTTGGCTTTAAAACAGTTTTTTTTTTAAATTTCATTTATATGTCTCTGTACCGACTTTACATTGCTGTCTCTTTGGTCCCAGCTCAACATCATAAAGCTTCAGCAACTACAGCTGCCCACAACTCCATTGATGTTGGAGAACTTTTGTTTTCTTATGCATGATGCCAGCTTGTTTGCTTGGCCCCTAGTCTGTGATCCGACATCACGTTTTGTTGACTGGCTCAAGTTTCTGCATGCGGACAGAGAACTGGTTGTTGTCAGGCATCATGTAAGCCTTGCACTTCATGTTTGTTTTGTAATTCGTTAAACTGTTTCTGTTAAAATTGAACCACAGTAACACAGTAGCCTGCTTACTTTTTTGATGGCCAGGTGATTACTGAATTTGTTGGTGTAAAAGACACACCTTTTTGCTGGCCAGGTGATTACTGAATTTGTTGGTGTATAAGACACACCTTTTTGCTGGCCAGGTGATTACTGAATTTGTTGGTGTAAAAGACACACCTTTTTGCTGGCCAGGTGATTACTGAATTTGTTGGTGTATAAGACACACTTTTTTGCTGGCCAGGTGATTACTGTATTTGTTGGTGTATAAGACACACACGTCAAAAATTCATTTACAGTTATCAATCGAAAAGAGTAGCCTAACTGTGCTGTCCGGGCAAAATTTAGAGTTAAAAGTCTTCCCAAAGTATTTCAGGATCCTTGCCAGTGCTACAGAGCCTGTGCACTGTGCTGAGCTTCTTAGGACTCAGACTTGAGTTAGAAGTAGAACAGAGCACTTATGGGTTACTACCCGTGTGCCATGATGTTGATCCGTTGTTCAAAATCCTGTAATTGAGACGGAGAGAAGAACAGTATTACATGTGAAATGCATGGCTGTGGAACCCCCTAATTCTTTGGAGGTAGTAGTATTTGATTTCCTCACCTGAGAGGGGTGTTTGCACCATTTGTTTTTCTTTAGCTCCTGAAGGTCAGTGAATAACTTTTAACATTAGTTATATTTTTTTTTTAATGTGAGTTTTTTCCTGAAAAATGTCTTTCATTTTTTGGGGCGCATCTTATACAAGGGAGTGTCTTATACACTGACAAATATGGTATATGTTTAAATTCACGTCGAGGCAAATTTTAAAACTTGACCAAGGCTCCTAGGTTAAGCCTCCTAGAATAGGTAGTCCTGGGAAGTAAAAGTGGCAGGAATGATATAATGTCAACACATATTGAGTGCCAATTGATCTGTAAAATTATGAAGTCATTACCATAGTTTCAAAGCACTTCAAGATGAAGAAATGATGCCTGTGTTTACTTTCTGTGTCAAGAAACATGTTTTTCATAGCATATATATATATATACATACATACATATATCATCAGGAGCCTTGCCAACTGACTATAAGGCGATCATGACTCTCCACAATCAGCGATCTCCTGCAGCATGTATCAATTCATATGCTGACACACTTCCATGCCATGCTAGAAGACTGTCTCTCGTTGTCTTCCTCTGTCCCTCTTTCCACAGATCTTTCCAGTGAACATTTATTACACATTTAGGAATAATTCTTTTCTTTGATACCTCCATTATTCTTTCCCATTATTCAAACTGAGGCCCATTCTTCCACTTTCTACCACAACAGTGTCTATCATTTCCTGTAGTTCTTTCTGACTTGTTGCTATTAAGACTGTGTCTTCAGCATAACATAAATTGTTGATATTGTGCCCACCAACCACAATTCCGGGCATATCAATTAAAGATCTCATTATATATTCACTGTATAGTGAAAATAAATTAGGTGTCAGTACACATCCTTGTCGTACGCCCCTTTTTATGCATATTCTTTATTATTCGTAGATCTTTTCTATCAATGTTTAATTTTCTAACAGTTTGATTACTTCTTCCTGTTTCACACAGTCAATTGCTTTTGTATATATAGTCTATGAAGCATAAGTACAAATCAGTTTTTACTTCTATAGCTCTTTCTGACAATGTCCTTAGGTTGTATATGGCATTGATGTACCTTTTTCTTCTACAAATCCACATTGTGCATTGCTGATTTCTGGTTTAATTTTATTTCGTATTCTTAAAATTATTCTAAGTAAAATCTCAGTCATGTCACTCATAAGACTTATTGTGCGATGGTCTTCACATTTTAAAGTGCCTGGTTTCTTTGTCAGAGCTAAAAATATAGATTTTAAAAGCTCATTTTGAATGTACCCACTATTATAAATATCATTTTAAAAGTTTATTTATTATTTCACTTCCAAAATCTCCCAGTGCTTCCATTTTTTCCAGTGAGATGTTGTCTGGCCCGGGTGCTTTTCCTTTCTTCATATGATGTATTGCATTCTCACCTTCTGCAGTCATTATTGGTGGACCATCATTGTTGGTCTGCAGTTCACCATCTGGTCTATTATCATCATACAATTTCCCTATATACTCTGTCCATCTGTTAATTATGTTACTATGTCCCATTAATAGGTCACCAACTTTTGATTTTAAACATCCAGTGCTGTCACTTATCATCTTTCCTGTTAACATATTTATCTGGTGGTACCTGGAGTGTGAGTCTTTTCCATGATTTTATATTATTTTAAATTATTTATAATAATATTATTATAATTAATATTATAATTTTTTTATTTCCCATTTTTTATGTATATATGTGTGTGTGTGTGTGTGTGTGTGTGTGCGTGCGTGCGTGCGCGCAGGCGGGCGCGTGGGTGCGTGGGCGCGTGGGGGCGGGCGCGGGCGGGCGCGTGGGCCCGTGCGTGCGTGGTAAAATCCACAAATGCCAACATTTTTGTAATAAATTGTGGCAAAGTTGGTCTAACAGACAGCCCCAAATACAGTAACAGTGAAGCTTTCACAGTGCCTGCAATAAGCTTCTTGTTGTTCTTCTTCTACTTTCATCCTTAAATGGGTGGTTGGCAAGCTGTGTTAAGGTTTATAGCTAAGCTGCGGTATTTGCATCTTTTGGCCCAAGACATTGTGATTTCAGAAAACCCTTAATTAGCCACTTTTTGTTAGGAGGGTAGTGGGTCTGTTTTTATTTCTCCCTAAATGGGGCCCAAGAACCCACACAGGGATACACAACAAGCTACTCAGGGAAAACAATCCTACCCCAAAAACAAGATAATCATCATATCTTTTACATGCTAGTTTATTTTCTATTCACAATCAGGAAGTTCGCTCACACCTGGAAAGCTGTCTCTCTGAGGGAACAACACTTCTAGTAACAGACTGTGATGTCAACAGTTTGGTGAATGACCCAAGGTTTACCAGCACAATAAAGAACTGCCGTAACTTCATTCTTGGGAAAGCCAGATTTAAAGTTATTGTAAGTTTATTAATAGATTCTGAATGTTGTTATTTTATATCATGGTGATAATTTTTTTATGAAAGCAAAAACATCCTCTGATTTAACTGAATCTGATTTTTTTTTAATCAGCCAAGATTGCATTACTATTAATATAATAATCGTAAATTCATTGTGAAAGCTGATTAACTTGTAAATATAAAAAGTTTGTTTAAAAGCAAAAAAATTTGCTAATCATCAATGAGACTGTTGCATGACCTTTTTTTTAAAAACTGTTTCCAATTAAAATCTCAGTTATGTCTTCATTTCTATCATACTTTCATTCTAAATAATAAGTATTTAAAACCGTCTTGAGACTGATTTTCTAGTAATTAATTTTGTTTCATGGTTTGTTATCATGTCTTCATTTACTTTTTAATTTAAAACCGTTTTTTTTGTTTGCCATTTGACCCCTGTAGATTCCAACATAAAGACGTTCTAGTTATATTTTTATAAGATTTTTTTCAGTGTGGTAAAATTTAAAAGGTAAAGATAAAGTCAGGAGATGTGAACCAGCGTCATTGCACACGGTTGTAAACAATAAGTGCTCTGCCACCAGTATGGACAGCTGATAAGAAACTGCCTTTCCTAGAGGCTGGGTGAACCCCGGGAACTGCCCGGTTTTGACCACCAACCGTGGCTGCAGCTAACGCGGCTCCCAGTGTGGGTTCTATCCAATGCCAGCATCTTTTCTTCACCTCTTAATTTACTGGAATTTGACTGTCCTTGTTATCAGATGTAATTGCATTTGTAGGTTGCAGACCATGAGGTTGAGTGTGATCCAGGGTTCCGACTTTTCCTCCACACAACAACTGAGCCGCAGATGTGTCCACATGAGCTGGCCGTGCTCACTTCAGTGATCTTTTTCCAGCTGTCCAGAGCAGGAATTGAGGAAGAACTTTTGGATGTTTTTATGGCACAGGAAAAGTCCAGGCTTGACACTGAGCAGACAGCTTTGAGGAAGGTCAGAAAACCAGTCTGTTAAGATCTTCTTCTTCTTCTTCTTTGCGTTCGCTTTCATATGCTCAGATCAGACCATCAGGTGGGTTGCCTCTATGAACTCGCATGTCAGCTGCAGGTCCTGCATGGTTCCCCATAGCTTGCTCTGCACTCTTTGCTCTTGAGGCCATGTGTCTTTTAGAAGTTGCAGGTAGAATGGGCAGGTCTGCAGAATGTGCTGAGGTGTTTGGGGTCCTGTTTGACAGGCACACTAGGGGGACTGTACAATCTTTATTTTATGCATGTGGTAGTAAAGCCTGCAGTGTCCTGTTCGTAGACGGAAAATTGTTGTATGTTGCTTTCTGTTGAGTCTGCTGATGGGGTCTTGTGTTAAGATGAAATAGTTTATTTCTGTTTGAACCTTGTGTTGTGGGTTGGCTCGATGGCAGAGCTGGACTTTAAAAAAAAAAAATGATGTTTACTCCCAGGGCGACCCAGCCTTGAGTGGGTACCAGGTGCAGTCCCTGGAAGTAAAGGCGGCCGGCATGATGCTCACCACATTACCCATCTTGTGCCCATTGGTATATAAAAATATAGGTCTAGCCCTATATGCCCTATATGCCTAAAGGCATGGAAAAGGGACCTTTACTTTTTGTTTTAACTTATTATCATATTTGTTGGTGTTTAAGACACATTTGTTTGTTCTCAGAATAAACCTTTAAAAATAGCTAATAGTTAGATTGCATCTTATTCCATGAAGGTATGCTTATATGTACCATAATTTGTTATTGTTGCCCACAAAATGGAAAAAGACACTAAGCAGAATTCCTACATTGTGAGTTTTAAACTCAGATGATAAAATATGCTGAAGAAAAGGGCAGTAGGTCAGCATAAATTTACTTCAGACCTCCACTGATGGGAGAAAAAGCCAACATAAGGCTTTGTCTATCTTAGCAGGACGTTTTGTGCAAAATTGTTTTTCTTGGAAAATTTCTTTCAGTTTTTGAGGTGTGTCTTGTACAAGGGAAGCATCTTGTCAGATGTGGTAACTAATATGCATTGTGGTGAAAAATGACTATATTTAACAGTTTCTTTGCTGCTGTTTTGATGGCTTGAACTTCTACATCATAGTTGTGACAGTGTTTTCATGTAGGTATTTTGACTGTATATTTGGTATTATTTGGATGCTCAATATAGACTCCTGCTCCTCCATTTCTGCTTGTGTTTTGTGCTGACCCATCCCTATAAACACGCAAGAGCGGTACTTCAGGCACTTCAATCTGGTATAAGACAACAGATGTAAGGTAACTGTGTGATGGGTACAATTCCACTGTGGAGTTCCTGGAAATAGCTGATAAATTAGCTAAAGAGGGTGCAAATGAAGAACAATCTGACGTACCAGTCTCTTATCAACAGAAGAAGAGAATAATCAAATCAATCAGAAAGCCACCAAAACCTGCACAAGACGATTACTATATTATGGACAGACCAGAGCAAGTTATTACTCAAGGCCCTAGAACAGGGTACAGTCGACTTCCCAGCCACATGTTCACAACACTTAAAATTGTGCACATGTGACTGGCACCTGAGACAACAGATCATGTTCTCCAAGACTGCCCCAAATACAGCGTATCAAAGCAAAACTTTTGACCAAGAGAAACAACGGTGCAAGCCAGACTTTATGGGTCGCTGAGTAAATTATAAAAGACAGTGAAGTTCAAACTAGAGACAACATTGCAGATATAGATAATCTATTTCAAGCAAACAAAAGAAGAAGAAAAAGAAGAAGAAAAAGTAGTAATATACATTGTTTAAAAAGCAATAATTTTTTCGAAAAATTGAATAAAACTATTTTAGTATCCTAAAAAATTATAACATTCATACATTTTCTTTTATTTCAAGAAATGATCAAGTTTACCAATTTCTTTGTGAACACATTTTAAAATGTTGGGACAATGGATACCTAGAAGAGAAGGAAACAAGAGGCTACCATGGATTCTCATGGACTACTGTGGATTCCTAATATGATTAAGAAGACCAGTATTCAAGAAATAAATAAGATATATTTACAAAGACCAATACCTCAGCATGAGATAAATTTGCAAAGATAGAAACGTCAGGCTGAGATAATCACCATTTTTTTAATCACATTCAAAAATAGAAAGCTCTTGAGACAAGGGTCAAATATAGGAAACATTGTTGGAAAAGTTTAAAAAATGGTATGGAACACATTTTCTAGTAAAATGTTTCAAGAACACAAAAAATATACGACTGTGGGAAAATATAACCTTTGCTTCCGGTCACATCACATGATCATACTGTGTATTATTTTGATATGTCCATACTGCCAGATTTATTCATTTGTGTTTTAGGGGGGAGTGGGGGGGGGGGGGGGGGGGGGGGGGCTTTTTTTCCATGCCTTAAAGCACATTTTTATTTTTCATTTTTTTTTTATTTTTTTATTTTTTTTTAAAATAATTTTCAGGAAAAACAGGAAAACCTGGAAACATTAGAAAAGCTGGAAGATCAGATGAGAGCTCAGTTGTCTAGTGATGTTAGGCTGATGAGCGACCTGCAGGCCACCAAAAGAGTGATAGAACTTCAGCAACATTATGATGAGACACTGGAGAGGTAATAAAGCATAACAGGTGGTATTTACATTGATTTAGCTTTCTTCTAACACTATATGCCTAAGGGAAAAATAATTACATTGAAGAAAGCACGAGGGTACATTCTTGCTTGCTTCTTGCAATAGAAAAAGATAATTCAATCTCGTTCAGACTTTTTCAGCTATGTAGCTGATGCCTATAGTTGCGATCTTTATTGAGTTTGATGTAAATTCTTTCAACGAAAGAAGCTAAAATATATACAAAGATGCTTCAAATGAAAAGCATACTTTTTTTAGGTGAATATATCCTGAAAAAGTACAGAACAGATATATCATTTTTCAGTGTAGTCACCCCACTGCGTGCAGTGCAAGTCCTCCTGCACTGATAAAGTGCTTAGATTCCTGTAGAAAACTATTCTCTTAGTCACGTGTGTAACCATTTACATCCTGATGTACCTCTTTATCAAACTGAAAAGTCTTTCCTGTCAGTGACTTTTTGAGTTGTCCAAACAGGGGGAAATCACTTGGGTCCAGGTCTGGTGAGTATGGAGGATGTGGTTCACACTGAAAGGGGTGGTCTTTGATGGTTTCAAAGAGTGTGGGCAGTGTGCAGTAAAGAGTCCTGATTCCTGGGGATCAGCACTGGAGTTATGGAGCTGTGCACACTATGTGATGCTTTAGGCAGGCATTTATTATGTGGAGAGAGACCGAGTCATATGAGATAACCTGAGGCTTGTCTTTAATTTTGTGAAAATATTCATTTATTGTATTTTACCTATCAAATAATATCTAGTATCAGCATAATTATTGCATGTCTGTGTATATAATTTTATTTCATACACCAGTCTTGCTCAGATTGAAGCCAGTGAGAATTCCATACTTAAAGCCAGGGACAGCTTCCGTGCTGTTGCCAAGCAGGCTGCAGTTAGTTTTGATGCAGCCCAGTACATGAGATACATCAATCCTCTGTACCAAATTTCTTTCAAGCAGTTCACCTCCATGTTTAAAACAGCTATAGTTCATTCAGAAAGGTAAGTGTCAAGGATGCTTTTGTATGTGTAGTGTTTTAAAAGCACTAGTAGATAAATACCATACCATTGTTGTTTTATTACTTTTAAAATGATGTGACATTGTTTCATTAATTTTACTCACAGTTTTATATAAAGCAGTTTGCAAAAAGGGAAGGTAATTTTTACAGCTGAATGGCTCAGTGACTTTGAGATTAGTGAATGCGTTTCATAATTCTCGACTGCTGGAGTTTGATTTGCGCAGGGAGCACATTTTTAAAAAAGACTGCTTTCATGGCTTTTGGATAATGTTATGAAAGTTGTAATGTAATGGGGGATATTTTCACCCTGATTAGGAAGGTTGGAGGAAAGGCCCAAGCTAACAATAATACAGAGAGAAGCCAAATACTCGGATTAACTGAGGTTTTCAAGATAGGGAACAACCACGAGTTATCACGTGGAGCCCAAGGAGAAGGACCCCAGGTCGCCATGTGGAACCCAAGAACAACCACGTGTTGCCACGTGGAACGAACACTGGGTATAAGTTGAGACCCTAGTCTGATCAAGTTAGTATGTGTTGACCGTCAGAACAAGAGGACGTGAGAGTGTTCGTGAGAGTGAGAACGTGAAACTGATTGTTGTGAAAGGAACACCAGATGACAACATCCATCGAAGCCATGTCCAGCCAAGCCAAGTTGTGTGAAGCCTAATGTAATGACCAGATCCATCTATGCGGCAATGTGGACCCGAAGGTGCCGAACTCTGGTCGATGAATGTGTGAGAAGTCAGCGTGTTGGTGTTTGAACAATGTGGTGCATGTAAGCTGTGAATTAGGACACGGACGGGACAATATATGTAAGCGATGAGATGTCAATAAACTGCATCATACTTTGGAGTCCGTGTCGGCTTGTCCCAGTTATGTCATCGTAAGAATGTGTGCTAAGATCATTCACTAGACACATCATCCCCTAGAAGATGGCTTAATGCAAGTGGAGGCTCTACAACGGAAATAATCAGGGATAAAGTAGATAGCAACAGCGAGACAATATCATAAACTGTCACTTGTCACGCAGACGGTGGACCCATTGAAAGTTGTAGGCAAGACATAGTTGCTGAAAACAGACATGTGAGAGGTGGAGTCTGGTGAGAAAGCACAGTTTGTGAAATCATCCGGAAATTGCATCAGTTGGACTATCAAATCACAGCCGAATGTTTGAGAATTTAGACGACAAAGCAACAGAAAGGTGATCCCAGAAACTGTCACGTGTCACGCAGATGGTAGATCCCGTTGAAAGTTGGAGGCAAGACAAAGTTGCTGAAAACAAACTTGTAAGAACTGGTGAGAACGCACAGTTACTGAAATTACCAACCAGTTGCGTCAAAAATCTAACCTGTGAACACTCTGAGGATAGGTTATTACCTCACGTGTGCGAAAGGTTTTCCCGTGGCACTTTGCGCCGTTCTTCAAAAAATTTGATCAGAATAGAAAAGGTGGCTGTACAACAGGTATAGAAAGAGAGAACAGTTTGTCCATTAAGTGTTGCAAGTAACAGCGGAGATGATACCGCAATAGGCAGCCAAGTACTGCAACCAGACAACACGACGGCAGAGAAATTTGCACCGGGCACTGGATAATTGTTTCACCCTGCACCGCAGAACATCCAGGTCACGACAACATACAGACAGACGCTTCAAATCAGGACAAGAAAAGCGGCTAAAATTCGAGTAGGGTTTGATTTTCCTACCGAAAACTGAAGTTCAGTAACATAGAAGAGGCTGTGGTCTTACTATATAATGTTCCCAAAGACATCACTGGAGGCATGCAGCCAACATCCATTGTGAAAATGCTTATCAAAAAATTGTAAATGTACATAAGAGTACTTGAGGGGCTTTAATCTATACTAATAATAGTCATAGACGAGGCTTCAACTTCACTGGAGTCATGCCACTCCAATACTTGCTGCATTCCTGTGCCAGTAAAAAATTAAATGAAATGTCCCATTTGAAACATTACAGATCATTATATCAGTTCATTTTACATCACTTGAGACGCATAAAATGTTGTTATCTAATCATGTAAGTTAGTCAACAGTATTTTCTACACTATTGTGTTTCTAGATCGTCCGTTAAAGCAGTAATTGACACACTCACCTATAGTGCTTTTCTGATGGCAGCCAGGGGATTTTTGGACAAAGACAGATTTTTTTATACCTTGCTGTTGGCAATTGAGGTACTTTTATTTATATCAGTTTTGTATTATTATGTATGAACCTAAACCTAGTCACTACTTTTATTAGAGTTGTTGTCATTTGGGGGTGGGAAAGGGGGGGGGGGGGGGGGGGCTAAATGTGAATGAGGAATGATAAGAAATTAATTATTACTATTACTATTTTTTGGTCATTACCAGATATAAACTTTATTTTTGTGTGTGATTATTTTATGTTTTCAAATAAACAGTGACACTGCACATTGAGCATTATCATGTGTGTGTGTGCCTGCATGTGTGTGTTTGTGTGAGTGTCTGTGAGTGTGTGTCATCGTGTGTGTAGGTGTCTGCATGTGTTTCTGCATACGGGTGTCTGTGTGTGGGTGTTTGTGTGTGTCTCTCTGTGTGTGCTTGTCTGTCTGTGTCAGCATGTGTGTGTTTATGTGTGTGTCTGTGTGTGTGTGTGTGTGTGTATGCTTGTCTCTGTGTGTGACTGCTTGTGTGTGTCTGCATGTTTGTAAGTGTGTCTGGTGTGTGTTTCTGTGTGTATGTGTGTATATCTGTGTATCTGTGTGTGTGTGTGTGTGTCTGTGCGTATTTATCTTTGTGCGTGTTTGTGTCTGTATGTGAGTGTTTGTGTGTCTGTTTGTGTCTGCCTAAGTGTCTGCATGTTTCTGCATGTGTGTGTGTCTGTGGGTGTGTTTGTCTGTGTATGTTTGTCCGTGTGTGTTTGTGTGTTTTTGCATTTGTGTGTGTCTGCATGTGGGCCTGTAAACATGTGTGTGTGTGTGTCTGTGTATGTGGGTTTGTGTATGTGTGTCTGCATGTGTATCTGCGTCTCTGTCTGTGTGTGTCTCTTTGTGTGTATCTGTGTGTGTGTGTCTGCATCTGTGTCTGTGTGTGTGTCTGTCTGCATGTGTGTCTGTGTATGTGTCTGCATGTGTTTATGTGTGTGTGTGTGTCGGTATGTGTGTCTAGGTGTGTCTGTTCATGTGTGTATGTGTTTGCATGTGTGCTGTAAATGTCTTTGTGTGTTTTTATGTCTGTGGGTGTGTCGCTGTGTATGTATGTATATATATGTGTGTATGTGTGTATGTATGTATGTGTGTGTGTGTGTGTGTGCGTGCGTGCGTGCATGCATGCATGCGTGTGCATGCATGCGCATCATGCATGCATGTATGCATGTATGTATGTATGTATGTATGTATGTATGTATGTATGTATGTATGTGTGTATGTATGTGTGTATGTGTGTATGTGTGTATGTAATATGTATGTATGTGTGTATGTGTGTATATAATATGTATGTATGTGTGGTATGTGTGTGTATGTAATATGTATGTATGTTTGTATGTATGCAGGTGTGTGTATGCATGTATATGTGTAAGTGAGTGAGTGGGCATGCTCGCGCGCAAGTGTGTGCATTCATTTTACCGCCGATGCTTTTGTGTTTTTTCTTGATAATAATAAAATGCATATTATTATATGTACATAACACGCTTAATTGATCAAATACAACTGCTGTGTGAAATATGGGTGTTTTGAAGGGTCAAATGTATGACGAGCCTGAGTGCCCAATTTGTGACCGTTTGAAAATAAAGTTAGTTCGTTCGTTATCATACATTCTTGTTTCAGGTGGATGACTCTCAAGGAAATGTTGGTGTGGGGGAAAGGGAGTTCATTATCTCCCCTAGCCTCAGTGCTTCTGTTATGTCAGCAATTACAGCCAGCCAGAGTATGGACTCCAGTGTTACCCAATATAAGAAGCCATTTGATTGGATGACAGATGACCAGTTCCACAATTTGCAGGTATTAGAAAAACTGTCAAATGATCAGTGTCAAAATCGCAGTTTTAACCAATGTCAAAAAATGACCAGACTCGTGACATTATGATCTTGCTCATGACTGTTGCAATCGTCTTCCAGAACTTTGCTATATAAAACTGACACAGTCCTCCTTTTGAATAGTGAAAAAAATAGAACATTTAATCATGTCTGCACAGAAACACACTGAAGATCAAAACCTATTCTTGAATTTAAAGAAAGTAAAAATAATGTCCACAGACCACACTATCAGTCACTCAAAAATAACAATAAATAATGATCAATAAAAAATGTCACAAATTTTGAATATTTTTGCACCATAAAAAAAGAGCAGTGGAGACTGTTCAACAGAACAGAAAAGATTATCAGAATACCATGGACAAAGAAGAAAAGAAATACTGACATCCTACAAGATCTGAACACCAAGGAAGACTGGCAAGTCTTGGAAACTAAAATAGTTTGACCATATCAAGCACCACAGCAGATTGGAAAAACAAATAATAGCTGAAGGCATGGTGCCAGTAAAGAGGGGCAGAAGCATGAAGCTGGGTACAAAATGTTACACCTTGGGTAGGAAAGTGCACTAGGCAGAAGCATGAAGCTGGGTACAAAATGTGACACCTTGGGTAGGAAAGTGCAATAGGCAGAAGCTTGAAGCTGGGTTCAAAATGTTACACCTTGTGTAGGAAAGTGCACTAGGCAGAAGCATGAAGCTGGGTACAAAATGCTACACCTTGGGTAGGAAAGTGCACTAGGCAGAAGCATGAAGCTGGGTACAAAATGTTACACCTTGGGTAGGAAAGTGCAATAGGCAGGGGCATGAAGCTGGGTACAAAATGTTACACCTTGGGTACGAAAGTGCACTAGGTATGGGCATGAAGCTGGGTACAAAATGTTATACCTTGGGTAGGAAAGTGCAATAGGCAGGGGCATGAAGCTGGGTACAAAATGTTACACCTTGGGTAGGAAAGTGCACTAGGCAGGAGCATGAAGCTGGGTACAAAATGTTACACCTTGGGTAGGAAAGTGCACTAGGCAGGAGCATGAAGCTGGGTACAAAATGTTACACCTTGGGTAGGAAAGTGCACTAGGCAGGGGCATAAAGCTGGGTACAAAATGTTACACCTTGGGTAGGAAAGTGCACTAGGCAGGAGCATGAAGCTGGGTACAAAATGTTACACCTTGGGTAGGAAAGTGCAATAGGCAGGAGCATGAAGCTGGGTACAAAATGTTACACCTTGGGTAGGAAAGTGCACTAGGCAGAAGCATGAAGCTGGGTACAAAATGCTACACCTTGGGTAGGAAAGTGCACTAGGCAGGAGAGCTGGCGAGTTTCTTTCAGATGGATCTTGATGAGAGCAGAGCTCTGCAAATGAGCTGCTACACGATGAAGAAAAATTGTTACTTTAAGATTCAAACATGCACATGAAGAAGTAATGACAATTTTTTTCCCCTCTTTAATCTCTATCACTATGCAATTCTTATACTACTATCTGAAAACTGCAAACAGTTTCTTTTTTGTAAATAAAAACCGTTTACTACAGAAATCTAACCTTAGCACTGGAGATTGTGAAACTGTAAATGCATTCACCAAACTCTTAACAAGTAGTGCCATACAATAATAGAATAAGGACAAATTAGTTAAAGAAGAAGGAGAATTATAAGATTAATTAGATCTCTTTAATGTCTCTGCTGTATTACAACTGTATTTTCACCATTTTCCAGATTTTCAAAATTACGACCAGTTCCATGAGCTTATTTTCCATATTTGGATGATTACAACCTACTCTGGGTGTTAAATAATTTCCCAGATAACTTACTCAGTTTAACCATTTTCCTATTTTTTTTTTTTCTAAAAATTATAACCTATTTTAGGATTTTCCCATTCTGAATCAACACAACACACCCTGTTGAACAATTTTTTTAGTTGTGTGTCAGTAATAATCTATACTGTTCAACAATTTTCCAGATTTTGGCAACTCACTTTGATTGGTTCAAAAATATCTTTGACCGCATGACCAAAGATGGACGAGAGACACTGTGGAGAAATTTATGTGAAAGTGAATGTCCAGAAAATGTAGCACTGCCAGACAGACTGGATGACAATCTTAATGCCATACAGAGACTGTGCATCTTACGAGCTGTCCGAAGTGACAGAATGCTACCTGCCAGCTCAAATTTTATATGTCAAGTGCTAGGCAAAAAGTAAGTGTATTTTTATCTGATCGTGTGTGAAAGGAATGTGAATTAGTGATTAAAGTGTCTATCTCAGAAATTGCCAGTTTGGATTATGATGAATTTCAAGAATCAATGGTTTCTAATACTATGGCACTTGGTGCACCTACAAACATGAGAGTGCTGAAACGGGACTTGGAATGCAGAATGAGGTGGAAGGTCATATTTTGTAGAAAAAGTCAGTTTCTTTTTGGGGTCACTCACATAATACATTTTCATAGTGACTGATAGAGTCTGGATTTGTAAAGAAGAGAATGACATTCATTCTTAAAGCTTATAAGATATGAAAAGCAAAGCAACAGAGAATTTTTTTTACTTTTATGGAACAAAAATCATTTGTAATAATTGTTGTCGCTTTTTTTAATGTTATTCAAATTCAAATTCTCTTTCTTTGACCACTTTCAGCTAGGTCCGTTCACATTTCTGCTCACTTTCCTTTCAGCTATATTTGTGGTTACGTTTTCTGGTCGCGATCTTATTTGATTCTGGATTGTGTTCAATATTGTCACTTTCTGTTTGTTGTGGTTTCCGCTCTTGCTGTTGTTTTTGTAATCTGGCTGGCCCTGTGCTGCGCTCAAGATGATTGGATGTTGAATCGATTTATTGTGGTATTCCTTGGCTGTTTGTTGTTTCCGGGGAAAGTAGATTGCCTATCCTAATAAGGACCGGCGGTCGATTGACTTGGGCAGGTACTGATGGCTATACTGCTGAGGTCTGGTATTATTTGGTGATTTTCTCGTATCCTTGTTGTAAAGTACTGCTCCTACATAGGGTTTCGGTAATTTGGCCTTGGTTGTGTCGTATCTGGTATTAGTGTTTGGGGTAACGGTGTCGACCTCGTTTGACTTCAAATTTTGGCTGTCGATATGGTTCCTCTGGTGATGACCAAAAAACATCATCATCCTGCAGTTCTGAGTTATAGAAGTTCGGGTCCTCCATCTCCATAATGCGTTGGTTAATTTGGTCAACTGTTGCCAACGGAAACTGTTTCATCAGCGATGTCTGAGTTTTCTTATCTGGTGTTTGATGTGGCTTTTTCTGGGTCTCGGCTCCCTGTATTTGCTGCCTTCTTGTTGCCTCTTTCCGTGCTTTCTCTCTTTCTTCCATCACTCTGTTGGTTGCTTGCAGTTCCTTGTTAAGTCTGTTGTTTTCTTCGTATGCTCTTCGTAACTTTTCCTCTGTTTCAGCCAGTGCCTTCTTGATCATTGCGACTTCTTTCGCGAGAAGTTGTTGGTTATCCCGCAGATCATTGATGCCCGCCTCGTCTTCCCTTGCTTTAGTTGGTTGTTCCTTTTGTGTCTGGATAGTGGCCAGTGCATTCATGATGTCCTCCTTGAATTTCGTCATCTCTGCTGTCATCCGTTTCTGGGTGTCAAGAGTCGCCTGCATTATAGCTCTCAGGCCTGTTATTTCATCTCTGTCTTCATCTCGTTGGGTTTTGGATGCGTCTTTCTCGTCTCTGAGAGCTTGGATGTCACTTTTGAGTTGAGCCACCTCGTTGCTCAATTTGGTGGTAATAGCTGCAGTTATGCCTTAGGTTGCTTCGTGTCTTCTGCGGGCCTCATGGTATGGAATCTTATCCCGTATGGCCGTGGTTGCAATTTCTCTACATTGTTGCAGATAGGGGCACCCCAGGTACCTGGTGCTGTGCTGGCCGTAGCAGTTGGCGCACTTTCTGTTCGTATTGGGTGACTTAAAGTCTGTGTCCAGCTTTGCCAGCGGGCAATTCTTGAAGGCATGGTGTTGTGAACAGTATCGGCATACTTCATGTTCGCTCACACAAGTGGCCCGGGAGTGCCATGCTTTTTGGCAACGAGAGCACTGGATCACCTGTGGCACGTATTGCTCTGGTCTTTGCATTCTTTGATCTAGGTAGATTTTATCCGGGATGTTTTCTCCTTCCGATGTTATCACCGCCACTGGCAATGGATGCCGTTTTGAGCCCAGTCTCTCTGCTTGGTTGATGTTGACATTGGGGTTTTCTTTCCTTATTTGTTGCAGAATTTCTTCGTTGCTCCATTGCAGGTTGACTCTTCGGATCACCCAGCGTCTTACATTCTGGAAGATGGTGGCCGTCACAGTTATCTCCTCGGATAGTCGGAGTTCTTTCTTGCCGTCGTGTTTGATGTCATCCAGCATGTCTGAGGTGCGGTTGGTTCTGTTTAGTGAAGCTATCACTCCTTCTCGAGTTCTCCTAATCTTTGCGACTGCCCTCTTGCCTAACATGATCTCCAGCATATTGATCAATGTTAGCGTTGCCAGTGTAGTGATTGCTGTCCGGCCCGAGCTGGTCTGTCGTAGAAATATTGTGGTAGGAAATTCATAGCTGCCTGTCTTTCGTCGATCTGGAGATGTTTGTGGAGTTGGCTGTGTTGGTTCTGGTGACGCTGGAGTGTCACTCAGGGCCTCACTGGTAGTCGGGGCGTCTTCTTGTGATTCGGTAGTAACTGTCTGCGTCTTCCTGGCCTCCGAGTTAGATCGGGTAGATCTGTCAGTGGGCTGTTTCCTCTGTCCGTTGCGCTTTCCGTTAGGTTTGTTTCTCCGAGACATGGTGCTTGCGGAGAAGGCCTCTCGCTCTGGCAAATACTTTGTATTGTGTTATGTAGGTTTCCGTCCTATCTGGTGATAATTGCGGAGAAGTCCTCTCGCTCTGCCTATCCTCAAAGGGACCAGCAGGTACTGTATTGCGCAGGTGTTAATGTTATTCATTAGTAAGCAACTTTTATACCAGTTTTGTATCCACAATATTCAAGAAACTTAAAGAAAGCTAAATCGTGTATATTACCAGAGCCAGCCAAGTTACAGATCAATCCTTGAAGCCCAAACAGAGCTATCCAGTATGAGGCTTAATAAATATATTCCAACAACTATTAAACACAAAACAGATCTGAGTAATTATGCTCCCTTGAACAGCGTCTACAGTAATTATACAATTATCAGTCTTAAGCTCCCATCATGGCACTTCAACCTGCCTGAGACACAACTGCTTTGATTATGTATTATATGATCTAAAACTACAAAAACAAGTGTGTGTGTGTGTGTGTGTGTTTTAAAAAAAATGATAATAAAGCTATCAAAACCACGTATTTCAAAATAATAAAAGCCTTCATATTCATGTATCTGATAATAATAATGTTGCTAAATTAATTTCTTTCATAATAATAAGTCTACCAAATTAATTTATCCGCAAAAATAAACCCGCTAGAACATTTTATTTTATAAAATAAAGTTACAAAAATCACAAATTGCATAGTAAAATGTCAGTATCCTTGAATCATGTTTCTCTCGAAGGTACCTCGCAGATATTCCCCCAGATCTGCCTATGGTTTACAAGCAAAGCACTGCAAGCCTTCCAGTCTTGCTACTGTTTGACACCCAGGCAGAAATGACAGTGAAGATTTTCCAGGACTTCTCCACGAAGAAACAGATCAACTATCTAACAATCATGTTAGCAGACAACAGTACAATACAAGAAAAGGCGGTGAAAAGACACATTCTCAAGGCAATGGCTGAGGTGAACAGAAATTATCAAAATTAGAAGCTTATTAAAAAGATTTTTTTCTATTTTAAACACATTATTGCAAACATCCATTGTTCTGTCAGCATATGTTTTAACATAGATTTGTTGCATTAACTCTTAAAGGATGAGGATAGTTAAAAGTTTGTAATAAGGAAACTTTTGAGACCCATTTATCATTTGTGTCCGGTAAGTGAAAGTGTTATTTTAAAGCATTTTAAATGTATGTCTGTTATTTGAAACTGATATCCTAAAACATTTATGTCATCTAGTATTCATGGGCAGGACTTTTGTTTAAGTTGTTTCATTTGGTCCTAGCTTTTCATTGTCATTCTAACCAATTTGTTTGTTGTTTTCGATTTTGTAAAGCTAACATATACTTAATGGCTTTCTAATTTCCTTCATCCTAATTAAGTGTCTTGCCAACAGACATGGCTGCCAATTGACATGCCTGGTTGTGCTTTGCCACATCTCATGATCTTTACTAAAATAGAATTTATTAGTTTAAGTGCTTGTGTTTTTCCATTTCATGATGAAAGGCTGTCAGGAATATGATTACATTTATCATATTTTTATTATGAAAGAATGACTTTGTAGGACTCAGAACAAGAAAATAAGTATTCAAGTTGCTTTCAATAAATGTTGAGGTTTTCTGCTGCTGATTGTCCAAGTGAAAGCTTTGTCACAAACACCTGAGCACATTCTGCAGACCTCCTGTCCACTCTACATACAACTTCAAAAAGCCACCTGGCCTCATGAGCAAAGTGTGCAGAGCAAGCTATGGGAAACCATGAAGAACCTGCTGCTGACATGCAAGTTCATAGAGGCAACCCACCTGATGGTCTGATCTGAGCAAATGAAACCGAACACAGAGAAGAAGAAGAAAAAGAAGAAAGATTGTCCAAGTCAGGAGCTAGTTAGTGTTTGATTCTTCCTACTTTTTCCTTGCCATAACTCCTATTGGAACATATACCAATAACACTCCAATGTTGATATTTATTGCTTGCAATCTGTATAATTTGGAATATACTAAGCCAAACATTGACACTATCTAAAGCCCATATACGCAAAATCACCACCTGCGAGATGAGATGCCTGAGAAAAGCAGTCAACCTAATCATCCGAGATTGAGTGAATAATGTTACTGTCAGACAAATTGTGGGAACGACACCTTGTACTAGATTCTTTCAAAAACAACAGATCAAGTGGTTTGGCCACTTCATTAGAATGCAGCAAGATCGAATACCATCACAAGCACTACATCTCAGAAGATCAGCTACAAGAGCAAGAGGACGGCCACGGAAATATGGATCGACAACATTAAAGACACTACACCTTCACGGCAAGACAATAGCCAGTGGCAGCCAGCGAGCATTGGATTGCAAATTATTCCTCCCCACAACGCTTAATGGCAGAAGTAGTTTGTGATGATGATGATAATGATATGACTTGTTTTATATAATCCGCTGTATTTTGTAACAAATAAAATACATTCATATCTGCTGAATTTGTCATAGTTTCTCTTTTTGTTATTCTTACAGGGTACCTGGGTGTTGCTGCACAATGCACACAACAGCCCACATCTCCTGGGATTAGTCGAGTCAATACTTCAAGAAGGACTCCAGCAATGTGACCCTAGTTTTCGTTTATGGATATCATCCCATGTAAAGTCACCTGTTCCTGTCCACGTGCTTCAGAACTCTGTGAAAGTTGTTGTGGACAGTCCACAGGTATGTTATTTAAGCATGTGTTGATTTCCATTTCCTGAATCTTTCAACTACGATTATGGAGGCCAAGGGAAAGAAAGATGTTCTCTTGATTGATTTACTTTCATTTTCCTCTCTACAGGTCATGAGAGATAGCCTTATGCGGAGCTTTACTTTGATGGATGCTGACATTTTGAAACGGTCAAATAGATCTGAGTGGCCGGTTCTCTTGCATAATTTATGTTATCTTCATGCAGCAATACAGCTGAGAACTCGATTTGGCACCAATGGGTGGAATCTCCCATATGATTTTGCTTCACTTGGAAATTGGGAACTTCAGGTGAGGCAACGCTGTTTTGTTCTTTTAACCACTTTAAGCAGTGCATACTCATCATTATCATCATAAACCACTTCTGCCGTAAAGTGTCTTTTGGAGGATTAATTTGCGATTCAGTGCACTTTGGCTGCCACTGGCTATTGTCATGCCGTGAAGGCGTAGAGTGTCTTTAATGTTGTCGATCTATTTTTTCCGTGTCAGTCCTCTTACTCTTGTAGCTGATCTTCTGAGTTGTAGTGCTTGTGATGGTATTTGATCTTGCTGCATTCTAACGAGATGGCCAAACCACTTGATCTGCTGTTTCTCGATGAATCTAGCACAAGGTGTTGTTCCCACAATTTGTCTGATATATCATTTTTTACTTGATCTCGGATGGTTAGGTTGGCTGCTTTTCTCAGGCATCTTATCTCGCAGGTGGTGATTTTGCCTATATGGGCCAGGGGGGAATTTATTTGTTCACATGAAAATGCTGAAGAATTGTGGAGGAATTTGAAGAAAAAGTGTAATTCAATCAGCGCTTACATCATACACACACAAAATCAGTACACACTAAAAGTCAAAATAAACCAGGACTGTTTTTGTCTTGGTTTATTTTAAGTCAGAATTCCCAGTACAAAATTTGTATGGGAAAAGCAAGAGTTATTTTATAAAGAAATGGCTTAACTCTGTGTCATTACTATAGCACGGTTATATTAGATTTAAATCAATGCCTGATGCGTTCCTTGGCACAGAAAGAGTTCATGGTTCAAATTTTAATCTTTTACATTCAGAAGTATGTGTTAAAATATTCTCAGAAGGCAAAGTCTTTGTTTTGTATTTTTCCTGTGGAAGTAAAATTGTACCTCCTTAATTAGTTCTTGGGTAACACATAATGTGTAAACAGAACTTCCACTTTGAGTCCCAGGCATTGTATACTGTGTTCTCATACAAAGCTGTATCGGCTCGCTTTCAAATCCAGCTGCAACTCGCTGCAGCCCACGATCTGTGTTTGAAACCGGGTGGCTCCCGGGGTTCACCCAGCCTCTAGGAAATTGGTACCAGAGTTGACACTCTGAGGTAAATGGAGGAACGTTGCTGTAGCCACAGAGTTACGTGCAGATGGCGACACAGGTGGACAGTTCTTATCAGCTGTCCATACTGGTGGCAACGCACTTATGGTTTATAACCGTGTGCAATGACGCTGGTTCACATCTCCCAACTTTACTTTTTTTTTTTTTACAAAGCTGTATTTTAGATTTGGTCCTAGCATACTAAAGAAATATTGCTTCCATAATATTTACCTCTTTTAATGTTATGCACGTACAATTTGTATCGTGATGAAACTCTTTTTGGCAATTACTGTGAAACCTTCTGAGGCTACAAGAGTTACAAATCTGGAATGCACATTACAAGGCAACTACCATGTCGGACAGTCTACAGTAATATAAATATTGCAGAAATTAAACAGATGCGTTCACAAACGTGCCTGTTTTAGATTGTGTTTTTGATACTTTTTCATGAAAGCCTGCCACAATTACGTTCTGAAGATATTTGTACTTGCTTTTTTACAGGAAGCAATAAATTTTGCATTGGGGGAGTTTAAAGATCCTCTGTTTGCCATGGCAGCGGATGGTTCTATGGTACCCCGAACAACATCCTGGGCTGGCATCCGTTACATGTTATCTGAGGTATATATGTCTTTTTTGTAGATTGTTATATTTCCATCATCATTATACTATTAATGGGGCTGTTCAAAGTGAAGTGGTCAAGCTATTTGCCTTGTGCTCTGAAGGCCATGGGTTTATTTTAAAGCTGTGTAGTTTGGTTTATGAGTGCAGATTGTATTTGGTTTATGAGTGCAGATTTTATTTAGTTTATGAGTGCAGATTGTATTTGGTTTATGAGTGCAGATTGTATTAGGTTTATGAGTGCAGATTGTATTTGGTTTATAAGTGCAGATTGTATTTGGTTTATGAGGGCAGATTGTACAGAGATTCTTTTAGGTCCTCGCCAGAGTTACAACAGTTCTGTGGAGAGATGAATGAACGAACAAACTTTATTTTCAAAGGGTTACAAATTAGGCGTGCAGGCCTGTCTTATATTCAGCCCTTCCAAACTCCCATCTTTCACACAGCAGTTGTATCTCATCAATAAAGCATGTTATGTTCATGTAATAATATGCATATTATGAATATCAGTTCAAAATCAAAAGCACGGGTGGTAAAATATGTGTGCACGCTCGCGTGCGAACACACACACCCACATACACACGCAAACCCATTCACTCACTTACACACATACACACATAGGCACATAATACACACATACATCCAGATACATACGAACATGCACATACATACACACATGCATACATATAAACATATATACACACACACACACTCATACACACAGCCACATGCACTAAAACACACACGCATACACCCCAGACACATACAGACACCAGCAGATATACACACAAACACATACACACACACAGGCGCACAAAAAGACACATACAAACACACACACCTGCGCACACATACATAAACCCACAAAGACACATACACATATGCAGTCACAGGCACACACACAAACACATACACACACGCAGGCAGGGAAACACACAGACACACACATAGACATATGCAACACTCACACATACATACAGACATACAAGCAGACGCTTAAACCGACACAAACAGAGACACGCAGACATTAAATAATAGGCACACCGAGATGGGGGCTATATAGGATACAGCCCTATGGGATGAACTTGATCCTCTCACCTTTCACCTTTTATTTCACTGCCAATGCCAGATTAGAACACCAACAATAAAAGAGAAAAGACGAGCTGAATCTAATCTTAAGGGGAAGGGACAAAATCAAACAAATGTTGAATTAAGAATTGACATCCAACAAAGGATACACTAACTGTATGTCTGGGTGGATACTGTTCATCACCTGACTAAATGGATGAGTGTCTTACCTGAGTATCAAGAGTGTAACAGACTCCTAATTTTGCAGTTTGATGCATGAGATTGGGGACATCACAGTTTTGAAATGTTCACTGTAGTAGTTGGCAACCATCAGTCCCTAGGAACCATAGAGCTGTGCCACAGGTTTTGGGAACAGCATCTGCAATGACTGTCAAGTCCAGTGCAGAAGTGGCAGTCTCTGTCAAAAAGTCTACATTTAAAACAGGAATGATGTATACACACCGGAACCTACCAATCAAATACCTTTCTTAAATGTTTGTGTATTCTAGACAAAGCAATAAGGTCTACTGTGTTCGTAAATTGTTGCTGTGATTGTTATTCAACATTTGCTTCATTAATATAAATTTCTGTAACCTATGGTGCCATTTCAATGGGTTGAAATGAATTCTGTCCGTATTCCATAGTTGTGGATTTCAAGCTGTACGAAAGACATGGCCAATAAGACACCTTTTTTTGGGGGGTGCCTAGTTGACCATGTATCTTAGTGCACTTGTATTCATGGCGAGGCGCAGACGCCATCTGGAGGTGACAGGTTTAATTCCCGGCACGGTAACTATAGCTTTCGATTTTTATGTTGTCTAGTGTGTTCTTCTATTTTTCTACTTCTTTCTATGAGTGCTGATTACAATACTTTCTGTTACTTGATTAATACATTTAAAACATTGATACTCTGTAATACTGAGGCTGGCTCTTTTTTCTGACATCTCCTGTCTATGCTTGCTGCATTAGGCCTTGGTAATCTTGGTAATCTTAATTTCAGCTTCATAGCAAACGAGTCACCCCATAGTTGCTCCGCTCCTGTGCAAACGAAAAACACACAGAATGTTCGTCGCAGTCCCTTGTGGAAAGATTGACAGACTGCTGTCTCAACATATGCACTAGCATACACACGCATTAAAGCCATACGGTAGCCATCAGAAGTGCTAACACAAACAGTTTGACATTAGAAATGCATTTCATCAATGACAGTAGCAGAAGTCGCCACCAGATCAGCAGTTGCGCACGTGATCAATATTAATCACATAAGGGCACCACCAATATTGCTGCGACAGTACACTCGCCATTTGCATTAGGCCTATTGCAAAGTGTGACAGCCTGTCTTTCACTTTCGGCTTCCATAGGAGTTGGTCTGCAGCTGATCTGTCCCAATTATCTTGTTTCAGTGTTCACTAAGTTATACTACAGATCATGTCCTCTAAGACTGTTCCAGATACAACATATCAAGGCAAAACTTTGGTCCAAGAGAAACATCAGTGCAAGACAAACTTTACGGGTCGCTGAGTGAATTACAAAAGTTCATACTAGAGACAGCATTGCAGATATAGATAATCTATTTCAAGCAAACAAAAGAAGAAGAAGATCAAATTATACTTATACAGTATACAGGCCCTACCATTGTGTGCTGCAGGTTGTTTGATATACAAGACATGTAGAAAGATGTTATAGTTCATGTCTCAATAAATAGCTAAGTGGTGTTAAATACAACACACAACATGACTGGAAAGCTCAACAGTGGTAATGGAAAGGATGTGCACAAATACAAATGAATGTTTCAACCAAAGTCTTTATCAATGGAGTACTAAATACAACAGAATTTGTGACAGGAAAACCCAGCAGACTAGATAACAGAGCTTCTAATCAACCAGTTTCAACATGAAACCAAGAAATACATAATGCTGGAAAAAACTGACATGAATGGCTGCATTACAAAACAAAATTTAAAAAAGGTGTTTTAAAAAGTAGTGGCTGATTTGATCTCCACAGAAAGATTCTGTGGAAACTGAGATATCGCTTTCACCTTGATGGTCAGAACTATTAAAATGGAGGGAGAACAGTTTCAGAGCTTCACTGCCAATATATTTAAGATGTTCACGCTTCTGCTACCAGTTTCCACCCTACATGCCTGTACACATTTGTTCATGGCCTTATTAATTTTTTGTATTGGTTGGTATATACTGTAACCTAACTTGGTTTAACGGTAGGTCTTTGTTTTGGGCCACTTATCCAAACATTTGTGTGGGGATTGACCTGTATGATAGATATAGGCCTAACTCAGAATGTCAGGCTAAAAATCATGAGCTGACTTATATGCCACAATTTATGGTAATTATAAGTTAATAGTTTTCATCAGTTTAGTTTTTACTGTAGAAATTATCATGACCATATGTAATTATATTATCATCTTCTTCATTCCCTTTTTGAAGCGAATAGCACCCACCAAGTTATGCACCTCTCAGATGTCAGTGTGTCTGACTTTTGCTTGCATTTTTGTAAGAATAAACTTCCCTAGATGGATTCAGTTTCATGGAAAGTCATTTCCTTCTTTCCTAACAATATAATAGTGTGAGTGCGCTGAGTTTACAGCTTACCTTTATGATTTGTTAATATCACTGGAGACAGCTTGTACACAGTTTCTGTCCTTGTTCCAGAGTGCTGTGTATCAAGTCAGACTACCAGAGAGATCAGAAGGATAAATCCTGTCAATATTCCCTGCTTTTTGCTGTGGGATTCAAACCCTATACACTATGAACTTAGGTTAACTATGCAGTCCCTCAGTTACATCACTCTCTACTTAAGCCACTGAACTTCTTTAATCCTTTTACCAGAACATTTTCTTCCAATTTATAGTGTACATAAAATTTAGATGTTTTGATTGCCCCGCTCTCTAGCGTAGTTGGCTAAACCGGATTGCGTGGAGACCGGGTGACGAACTCCTTTTGGTCTGGGTTCAATCCCGGGGGTGGGCAGGAAAGCCACATTTTCTCCCAGATTTATGGTATTTACAATGGAATCAAGGCCGAAAGGTTGCGATATCCATAATACCGAGCCTAAAGGTTAAGAACTCATGGCTTCTGGTTACTAAAACAAACAAACAAACAAGATGTTTTGATTTCAGATTGTATATGGCAGTCATGTCACTGACAGTTATGACCAGCATAGTCTGAGTGCAATGATAGAATTCTGGTGTGGATCTAACGCTTTGAAGAAAGACTTTGAAGTAGCCAGATGTAAGTTGTGAAAGCTTGTTTGTTATATATATAAACAAAATATTTACAATATAAGTGCAAGGTCTTGTTTGTCAACCAGTACAGAAATCAACATTTGTACTGTTTGTTTAAAATTTAATATGTGAATGGGATACATACAGTTTTATTGTTATTCATATTCTTCATTTCATATTCTTTTTCTTGTTCACTGGCTGTAATCTTCTGCAGGAAGTTCTGGTTACGTATCCACCTCTGGACTGAACTCTTTCAGGAAGTTTTTGTTTTTGGGGTTTGGACAGTAATAGTTTTGAGTGAATTTTTTTTTACTGCAACATGACAAAGCTAAAACCTTCTTGAAGAAAAAGTATTGGCTGTATTTTTTTTTAGTGCGTATCCTTTACAGTACGTTGCAGAACCAACCCCAGCAGCCCATAGCTGTTGTGTGGTTACTCTAGGCAACTTTACATCCAGTAGTTTGCCATGGCTTTTTGGACGGTCGGCCCCCTGATATCACTGTCGAAACCAATGCAAGGTGCATGGCCCGCAGCTGGGATTGAACCCGGCACCTTGGCATTATGAAGACATTGGCTGTTTAGGGATGTATAATATGTAAAATTAAAGAGAAATGAGTTGAGAAAAAATCTAAACTATTCAAGTGTCAGTATTACAACAAAATATTTTTTAAATCACAACATTCAAGCATGTTAGAAAAATATAAAGATTATTTACACACATAAAAATGTTGTGCTTACTTTACATTTTACTTGTTCAACAAGACTGGTATCTATTTTTAAGAAGTCACATGCCTTTTCTGTTAAATGACCTATCGGCTAGTTTTTATTTAAAACAATTAATTGAAATACTTTGGATGTTATGACCATTTTTGTATGGCATGTCAGATTTGACAACTGAAATCGGGAAAACAGCTGATCGAAAGAGAGATGATCAGATCAGAAATTTTTGTTCATTCTTCATCCTGAACTAATTATTGGCAATCGGTTTGGCACATGTCATTATCAGTCATAATATCAAGACTGTTGTCACTATGTGGCTGAGATTCATCAACGCCAGAGTAGAATGTTCAGTTCTATACCTTTTCCTTAATCATTTGGTATATAAAAATCATGTAAAAATTGTATCGCGTCTAAATAATTTAAAACAAATCAGATAGTTATCCAAAACACGACAGTGAATGTCCATGACAAAAGGACTCCATTTAGCTAATTCTAGTTTTTCAAAACATGTTAAGACAAATTCGTTTTCCCAACAAATGAAACAATATTAGAATGTCTCTATCAGTAGTTACTTTAATGGTGATTTGTCCTAGTGGGACTCCATTTAGCTAATTCTAGTTTTTTCAAAACATGTTCAGACAAATTCGTTTTCCCAACAAATGAAACAATATTAGAATGTCTTTATCAATCGCCAATTTAATGGTGATTAGTCCTAGTGGGATGGATTCAGACACCACTTAAGTGAAGATTAGTCCACAAAGAGTTAAGTCTTGATCCAGAATGAGAGTTTTGCCTGCACATCTATTTTACTGGCTTATTTGAATGGAGACTGTTGGTACCTCACATCTCAGGCGGATGCTCTCTGACCTGGAAGGAAATACCACTAATTAGTCTACTTTTAAAACTTGCTTGTTGGAGTTCAGTGGGTCTCTTCTTTTTTTCTTCCTTAAAACAGAGTTTTTCATCTATACTTCTTTCATCTATACTTTTTTTTATCTATACTTTTTTCATCTATACTTTTTTTTTCATCCATACTTTTTTCATCTATACTTTTTTCATCTAAACTTTTTTTAAACACTATTGTGAATCTCAGTTTACATGAACTTTCCATATTGTGTGTATGTAAAAAGGGCTGCTAGCAAATAAAATATATGTTGGTGAGGTAGACCCCAGCAGATGAGATCGCTAGAGATCAGAAGGGCAATATAAAAACACCACGAAAGACTTAGATGAAAAATATCAACATTGATATTAAAAATTGGCAGAGTAATGCTGCTATATGATCTACCTGGTGTAGTCAGAAATCCTTGCTGGCAAGTCAGCTTTCAAGCAGTTGAGAATCAAAGAAATTAAAAGAAGCCAAGCTATAGAAAAATCAAACACACATTTCCTGGATCAGATTGGTCTAATCAGTGAAA